GCGCAGCCCCTCCTGGTGGTTTATACAAGCCACAGTCGTGGTGTTGTCTGTTCTCACTAGGACATGATGGCCGGAGAGAAAAGGCAGGAAGCGCCTCAGGGTCAGAAAGACCGCGAGGAGTTCCAGATAATTTATGTGTGTCCCCCAGAGCTCTGTGCTCCACACACCCCTGACAGAGCGACCCTCCAGGAGCCCCCCCCAACCTGACATGCTCGCATCTGTCGTGACCACTTTCCTCACGAGAACCAACCCCAAAGGCACCCCCTGTGCCAAGAGGGAGGGGTGATGCCAACAGCGGAGCGCCGCGACGCACGCTGCAGAGACCGTCACCCTGCGCGCTCTGTGGCGCACTGGAGAGAGACCCAGAGAAGCCACCCAGCGTTGAAAATCTCTCATGTGTAGACGGCCGAGTGGTACCACTGAAATAGCCGACGCCATGAGACCCAAAAGCCTGAGGCATAACGCAAACCGCACCGAACTGTGTAGGCGGAAGTAGGGCTGTCGCGGTAACCGCAAAAATGAAATATCGTAATATGAAGAAGCCCACCGCGCTGCATCATGGGCCACCGCGATTACTGAACTTGGTTCAACTCAATGATGCATGTTGAGAAGGATGGCTGCACTGGTATCAAAACGAAACGTTACTTCGCTCCTTTGGGAGCACTTTGGTTTTCAGTACGTCAGCTGCTGCGCAGCCAGAGTCCTTGGCTGAGACAGAGCTGCCACCAGCGGCAAAAATAAATAAATAAATAAATAAATGCTCGGAGACCTGCTAAAGCCCCGGACAAGCACTGCTTCTGCAACCGTCCCGAAGAGTGTTTGAGCCGAGCTGGAGCTCACTCGCTACCTGCAGGAGGAATGCATCAACCCTAAAGAAACCCCCCGGACATGGTGGAGCAACAACCGGGAGAGATTCCCTTAGCTCGCCAGTCGCAGCAAGTACGTGTGTGTTAGTGCAACGAGCGCACCATCCGAGAGGGTTTTCAGTGTTGCTGGAAATGTTGCCACCCCTCTCAGATCCTCTCTCAAACCGTGTATAGTTAACATGCTGGTTTTCCTTGTGGGTAACAAGGACGTGACCGAGCTATAAATCACCGTCATTCGTGTGTGTGAAAGTGAAATGATAGTGCGCCTGCCCCCCGGCGCGCACGCGCCCGGTACATGTAATTTTTTATGCTTGATTTTAAACAACTAAACAAAATTGGGACTTGTTTCTTATTTGTTAGATGCTGCAGCCAAATTTGCATTTAAAAGTTTAACCTTCTCCTGAATGTTGTTGTTTTTAAGTTCAGTCGGACTCCGACTGTCGGAGAAACAAACGTTACTGCGATCTGTGTTGTTACTGCCCTTTGATCTGCATTCAGTAAAGTGTTATAAAAGAAGACATGGCAATTTTTAACCTTTTTTAAATGTGTAAACATTATGTTTAGATAGTACTGCAATAAAAAAGGGCTGCAATAATATCGCACACCGCAATATTAAGCCACCCTGAATCACCGCAGGGGGAATTCCTCAACCGCGACAGCCCTAGGCAGAAGCGCGCCAGGCAGAACGAGAGCGCGTTCACGCGCGGTGCCGAGAGACGGGCCGTGAACGCCCCTGAGTCCAGATTCAGACCTAGAAAGGTTGTTTTCTGGGAGGGGAGTAAAGCGCTTTTCTGCCAGTTTATTCTGAAACCCAGACCACACAAGTGAGGGATCACAACCAGCGTGTTTGACGCTGCCTCCTCTCTGGACCGTGCCAGCAGGAGCCAGTTGTCTAAATACGTGGCCAGCCGAATGCCCCTCCCTCTCAGAGGGGCGATCGCCGCCTCCATACACCTGACAAACACCCTCGGGCTCAGCGAGAGGCCGAATGGGAGCACGGTGTATTCGAAACACACTCCCTGAAAGGCAAACCTCAGAAATTTCCTGTGTGGAGGGTACACGGGAATGTGAAAGTATGCGTCCCTCAGGTCGATTGAGGTGAACCAGTCGTTCTGGTGAATCAGACGCAAAAGGGATGAGAGCGTGAGCATTTTGAATCTGTACTTTCTGAGGCATCGGTTCAGGGCCCTCAGATCCAGGATCGGGCGAATCCCGGTCCCTCCCCGCTTTGGGACCAGGAAGTACCTGGAGTAGAAACCGCTCTGAGACCGATCGGGAGGCACAATGCATATCGCTCCCTTCTCCAGCAGGGAGGAGATTTCTCCCTGAAGGATGTGAGCTGGTGTCCCCTGGGCATGGGAGAACACTACGCCGGAGAATCGAGGAGGAACAGAAGCGAATTGGAGCCTGTGACCTCTCGAAATAGTTCTCAGCACCCAACGTGAAGCAGAAACCACTGTCCATTCCTCCATGTGAGTGGAGAGCGGTGACACAGCCGTGACACACGGAGCAGCAGCTCCCTCCAGAAGTTGTGGGGCAGCGGTGCTCGTGGCAGCCACTGCGCATGCGTGGGGGCTTTGTGCTTTGACGGCCCAGGCGTATGGGGACGACCCGTGGCTGGCGGGAAAGTCTGCCAGGGGCCGCCCCCGCCTGGAACCGCTCATGGGTGACATTTTTATTGATTTTTGCTGCGCCCTTGACATCTTGTCTGGATGCGACAGCGAACCTTTTAATGCTCCTTGAGCGTGACATGCTTGTGAAAAACAATGTGAGTGCTTGTGACGTGTGTTTTGAGCCGGCACCACCGGCTGCACGTCCTGGCCCCACCCTGGACCGCTCGGGAACTCTGCCGGAGGGGTTCCGTGAGGGGGGGGAGAAAGCACCATGGCAACATCGAACAGGAGGAGCTGGCGAACGGGGAACTGCCAGCTGCAGCGTCAGGTGGGAAGAACTCCGACAGGCTGCCCTCCTCTTCCTCCTCACCTGCTGACCGCCGTGTCTGGTGGATTGTCCCGGCGGCGGAGCAGCTTGGTTGCCGGATCTCTGAGGCCAAACTGGTCGAGGCGCTGAGCCCGAAGGAGCTGGTTGGACAGCTTGAGGCTTCGGGCGCTTTGGGATCCGGAACTGAGGCTGGGCTCGGGCAGCTGCCCGAGGCAGGTTCAGCCGAGCCGGCAGCGCCGGTGAGGGTTTACGGGGAAGGCAGAGATGAAAGGCTTCATCCTCTTTCTTTTTGGCCGCACACCGTTGCTGCATTGATGCCAGGGCAGAGCCAAAAATGCCTTCAGGCACGATTGGCATGTCCAAAATGTCCTCCTTCTCTCTCTCAGAGAGGTTGGTGAGGTTCAGCCATCGTGCTCGTTCTTGAAGCACCATCATGCCCATAGCCTTAGCCGTAGCCTTGACTGTGCAGCACTGCACACGCAGGCAGATGTCGGTCAGTACGGTGATTTCCTCCCACACCTCCGGGTCCGGCTTCGTATTCATGTCCTCACAGAGCTCGGCTTGTTACGCCGAGAGCATGGAGGAGACATTCAAAGCTCGGACCGAGATGGCGGCAGCCTTGTACGCCCTCTCGTTCAGCGCCGACTGGAAGCGGTCCGCCTTCGCAGGGAGAGCGGGAGGCCTGGAGGAAGTCGCCGAGAGCCGTGGGTGCAGGTGGGCTGCAACCAGCGGTTCCATCGGCGGCATGCAAAGCATGCCAGCCTTCTCCATCCCTTCGAAGTCCAGCGAGGAAGCTCCTTGGACAGGAGACCTGGAGCTGAACGGGTGTTTGTCCCAGGAGGACCTCACTTCTTGGAGAAGCTCCGGGAAGGCAGGAAGGAGGGGCTTTGCCGCCCTCGTGGCCTGAGGCAGCTTCTTTCCCTCGTAGCGGGATCTGACAGCCTCAGTGACCACGGTGGGCCAAGGGATGTTGAGCCTGGTCGCAGCGCGTCGGCAGACTGACTGCATGTCCAGGTGGGCGGCCGGAGAAGCCGCTCCATCCCTGGGAGAGGACGGAAAGCTAGGCATGAAGGCCTGAGCGATGGGGAGAAAGACGTCGTCCTCCTCGTCCTCCTCTGAAATGAGGAGTTCCGAGGTGTCCTCGTCGTCTCCGTAGTCCAACTCCAACACGTCCTCGGCGGGGTGGCTCGGACCGGCCAGTTCGAGCTGTGAGCCCCAGCTGGGTTCGGCACACGGTTCCGGCTCCGGGAGGACATGTTCACTGGCGTCCCCAGGCGGTGGCCCAGGGGCCGGCAGGCAAGGGTCCTTCCCCGACAGGCTAGCTTGGCGCGCTAGCCGCCGGCGAAGGCTCTTCAGGGTGAAGCAAGCACAGCTCTCACATGACCCGGGGACTTCCAATGCCAGCTGGGCGTGTTCCAGCCCGAGGCAGCTCGAGCAGACCCTGTGCGGGTCTTTGCTTGAGATTTTGTTCCCACAGGTACAGAGGCGAGCTCCTGCGCCGTCGACTCCTCTGGTGGGAGGAGCGGCTTCCATGTTGGCTAACTGGTGTGTTAGCACAGAACGAACAGATGCACTGGAGTGTGAAGCTGCTCGTTATGCCCTGAGCCTATGGTGAAGGCCAGGACAGAAGGACAGTAAGTTAACGTTCGGCGACGGAGAGAATATTAGAAGGCTCCGTCTGTGAACAGTTGAGCTAACTTACCTCAGAGATAAGCGACCACCGAAGCGAGAAGAGGTGATTGAATAGTGCGTACGTGGGGACGCTTGCTACTTATAGTAGCAGGGGGACGCGTACGTCACGGTCACTGGCCAATCAGGATTGGCGTATTGAGATAAGTGCTTCTGAGGAATCCGCTGAGGGGCGAATCCCATAGTGAGACATCGAAACGAATGTTAAGAAAGAGAACCATCATTTCAAAACTGCATTTTGTGTTTACTTGTGTTATCTTTGACTAATGGTTAAATGTGTTTGATGATCAGAAACATTTTGTGTGACAAACATGCAAAAGAATAAGAAATCAGGAAGGGGGCAAATAGTTTTTCACACCACTGTCGTTGTAGATGGAGTTCCATTTATTACTAGCGGTTTCACCAAAAATCCATCTGATGATATGTGTTAATATATCTTGTTATCTGCAAAAACAGGTGCTGTTTGCTCCATTTAGCCTTTATTTCATGTATTTCCTTTTGCAGGCATCAACCCCTTACAGTCTAGAGTCAGAGTCTCTCAGAATGGACTGCATCATGTCTGGTGGGGCGTCCCCAACGCTAGCCATCGGTGCAGCAACTAACAAGGTAAGAAGGCTAAAACACACACTAGGAAGAATGTGGTTCATTCATTTATTGTTGCAATAGAAAACAGAATCATTCATGCTTAAAGTGGCAGTGTGTAGTTTCCTGCCACTAGGGGGCAGTACATACCTAATTTTCCGGGTACTTTTACACCTCATCTTCCTAACTGTTGCTCGCTACTTTAAAAAAAACATTACAGTAAATGTAACCAGTGGAGCAGAAAGCATGCAACCTTGGCGTGACTCCTCAGACTTTGATGGTCCTTCAGGTAATTCCATGAAAAAATGCAGTGCTGATTGTAGTTTTCAGGCGCTGTAGCTTCCAGATCTGCTCGGGGGCTTGTGAATGGCCTGTATTTGATATAGCGCCTTCTAGATTCCTGGAACCCCTCAAGGCGCTTTACAACACAATCAGTCATTCACCCATTCACACACACATTCACACACTGGTGGGGATGAATCACGATGTAGCCACAGCTGCCCTGGGGCGCACTGACAGAGGCGAGGCTGCCGAGCACTGGCGCCACCAGTCCCTCCGACCACCACCAGCAGGCAAGGTGGGTTAAGTGTTTTGCCAAAGGACACGACAGCAACAGACTGAGCGGGGCTCGAACCAGCAACCTTCCGATTACGGGGCGAGCACTTAACTCCTGTGCCACCGTCGCCCCTGCTGTGCCTGCTGATGACGTCTTCATACTATGTCAATATTGCTTGGCCAAAATGTATTGCATCTCTTTTTCAGTTCTGTTCTTCCACATATGTTTTGGAAAGATTTTAGCAGTCTTATTAAATTTGTGGTTCTTTCTGCTTAAAACGTTTTTGAACGTGGCAACGCAACTTCTGTAAGTTGTACGTCCAGCCAGTCATCTAGTGTGATGTCATCGACAGGCGCAGGACCCCCAAGCCGACCAGAAGGAAACATGGCATCCCCCAAAGACGCTAGACCCACACCCTATGTACTTTAGCACTGATTTTTATGGTTATATGGTACAAAGCCGCCAATACTTTTTAACAACTGGACAACATTTTATTAATTTCCAACAACATTTTGATGGATATTTCCAGAGATTAAAGGTAAACTACTGATTGTCTCTTTAAGAATTTATTCCCACCAATCATATAATTTTCCTCTAGTTAAGAGCTTAAAATCAGACTTGGGGTTTCATGTAATTAAAAATAAATTCAGTGAATTGAAACCATAGAAAAAAGCCAGATAAACAAAACCAAACCACCAACTGAAGAGACGTTTATGGCATAAGAATAATTAAGAACTTTTGAACTTTTACACTCAAATAAATTACACTATTCTGTAAAAAAAGGTTTAGATCACAAAGTGGATTTAGTTATTTAGCAGGTGATAAAGAACACGAAAACTGTCTTTTGATTAGACTGTAATTTTAATGTTTGCTTCCTAACTGGTGCAATCAAATGCATTCAAGCAGGGAGCTTTTAAAGGGACACATAATAAATGTGTTTAGTGGATTGTTGTCACTTTGGATCATGCTGACATCAGTTTAGATAAGCTCAGTTAAAAAAAACATCTGACAAAGTAATTTCTGGTGGATCAAAATTACCATTTGTTTCTTAAATACCCATTTAAAAGGCAATGATACACAAAGTTTATGGTTTTTGGAAAATTCTTGCCTAACAGTCAAGTTTCAGTAAGAAGTTGGTTTCCTTTTGCAGCTGAGAAGAATGATTATTTGAGCCCAGAGCTTCTGCTGCTGCACTTTGTCTTCACTCCCAACATTCAGACTACACAATAAAACTGAGTGTGTCCATATATGTGGGGGTCAGGGATCAAATACCGCCTGGGACCTCTGATGCCTGTCTGACTCTGTTTACACACACAAACACACACTGTGGCAATGTGTGAGACCCTTCTTGTGACCCCGACCAAAAAGAAGATTTGTCCCACAGCAGCTCTCACAACCCTGGGATTATAATGTGAAGGATTTCACATCTTTGGACAGTTTTCCATTCAGATTTTAATTTATGTTTATGTTTATTCATTTAGCAGACACTTTTATCCAAAGTGACTTACAGTTTATAACCTATAGGGCTTGTTGTGATCTGTGGGGGAAACCGGAGTACCCGGAGGAAACCCACGCATGCATGGGGAGAACACGCAACTCCACGCAGAAAGGCCGCAGCCGAGTTTCGATCCTGCGACCTTCGTGCTGCGAGGCAACAGTGCTAACCACTGCACCACCATGCAGCCCTTTCAATTTTATTACTTAATGTTTTATTTTATTTAATCTTTATTTAACCATTCTCATTTACAACGACGATATGGCCAAGAGGCAGCAGCAACAGACCCATAATTAGCTTTTACACCAAAGAACAACAGATAATAAAAACAAACAAGATAAAAACAGTTAGCCATAGAGACAAAGGACTGCTCTTATATACAATATGTACAAGCAAACAAAACAATCTACTTAAGGATTTAAAGCAATGTATGAAAAGTTTTATCCGATCATGAACTCACTTTACTTTCATTACTATATTGTGAATTTAGATACTTAATTATAAATAGTCACTGTGTTTTTTCTCAAGTTTGACATTTTTGAGGGTTTACTACAGCAGAATTAGATTTTTACTCCGACAAACAGTCCTGTGAAAAAGACGAGTCAATCGTGGTGTTTAACTTACTTTAATGAGTTGTTCAGAACTATAATAGCAAGCTAACAGGAAGATGGCGAACAATAACACTTCCTGTAGTGCTAGAAACAAACTACCGTAATAAGTGTAGTGAGTGCTCCCTACCATAAAACCAACGCCAGATAAGACGATGTATTAATCTACTAATGAACTTATAATTGGTCAGTCTATATAACGTGATCATGCCACATGCACATGACTCGTGACTCGTGTTTGGTTGTCAACTAGAATCATTTGGCACTGATCCAAGAAACTGATTTCATGGCTTAGGAAGATGGACTGCAGTTACCTAATTTAACTAGAGGATGCCATTTTTACAAATTGCACCTTTAATACTATAAGAGGAACAGTAACTTTTTCACATAGGGCCAGGAAGCTTTGGGTAGCTCTTATCCCATTAATCCAATCATCATTTACTCAGGTTTTCTTCTTCTGATGCTGAAAGTTGTTTTCTGATCTGAATCATGTAAGGGTGACAAAAACAAAAGACATCATTTCTTTTTTACACAATAGCGGTAATCAGCACCAGTGAAGATTTACCTTTTTCATCAGAACTCCTGACAATATAGTTTGATTAACAGCGTTTTAGCATGGCCGTAAACCTCTGAACAGATTCATGCAGGCAGCAGAAAACAACGTTTCATTTTTTGCTTTTTTTTCCTCAAACCCGCCACTTTGCACCTGCTGCTGCAGGACATGACTCGCTTTAGACATCACTTTACATTCTGCAACAATGACTGTGAGCAGAGAGAGGAAGACCTTGATGATAACGATGCTGATGCCAACGTCAATGATATCCGCCTACATCCAGACAGGTGGCATCCTGCAGGCGCGGCAGAGTGTCGGAGCTGCTTCTCTAACACATTTTGCTTGCTGGTTTTCTAGCATCGTTGAAAGATGTTGCTGCTTTTTCAAAAAAAAAAACTCCCATAAATTTTTGTAGCAACAATCATTTTAGCTCAATTATTTCCCTATAATGTTCTTGTTGCTACAGTTACGTTAAGGTTCAGTCATCTCACAAAAATGCATTGTTGGGGGGGAGGGGGCACGAGAGCGCTGCCCCAGAGAGCTTTTACTGTTGCCTCACCCCACGGCTATGTTTTCACATTTGTCTTTACAATTAAATGTAGCCCCGGGGTAATCCTGGCGCTCTGCCTCACAAGTGCTGACAGTCGGATGACACAAGAGAAACATGATTCAACATAATTCTGAGGCGCAGCTTTTAATCGCTTTCTGATGTGTCGAGACAGCGTACAGTAAAGCAGCTCCTGATGCAGAAGGCCTCCTCCGGGTTAGGAAGACGTGGACTCAGAATCCTGCATCCCAGCTAGCTGGGGTCTGATTGTAATGCAGCAGCCACCGCTTTAATTTCTGTTTTTCCTCACGATCTGACCCTGAAGTTAATTGTACATGGGTAAGCCTGAGAGTTGCTCACCTCTGTTTGCACAAGGAACAGAACAGATTGGAACAAGTCGCCGCTATTATAAGTGGTATTATTTGGTGCATTGCTTAGCAATGTGCGCTCTATGAGATCTATTGTTGTCATATCAACATGAAGCCTCTATACATACATATATATATTTTGTGTTTGCATGCAGGTAGCTCTGTACAACCCTGAAGTAGAAGGCGGCGAGAGTCCTGGGAGTCTGGGCGGCAGCCTGAGCAACAGTCTTTCAGAGCAGAGTTTGGCTTCTGTCAACCTTAACAGCCTGAGCACGGCTGTCAGCAGCAGCAGCAGCAGCGTGCACAGCTACACACCAGTAAGAGCTTGTCTTTGTTATGGCTGTGAGTGTAATGATTGTTGCAGAAGAATGTTTTAAGTGTGCAGGAACAATGGCTGACCTGACGCCACCGCAGGCGGTAACTGATCCTGACTGGAGCAACAAGTCCTCTCACCCCTCGTCTTTTTTGATTTAATCATCTAGTAAATTTAAATGTCCAGCGTTTGAGCCGTTTCTCTGTGATCTCCTGATTGTGACATAATCTGGATGATTCAGACTCTCGGCGAGTGCTTAAGGTGTCTGCTGCACCCGTAGCAGCTAACTGAAGAGGTGGAAACCAGCTAACATTTGATCTGAAGCTCACAGCAAAAGTCCTTGTTTTACGTTTGATTTTGGACTGAAAGGGACATTTTGGCCTTTTTAAAAGTGTGTTCTTACCTGAACTGCCTCAGTTTGGTAGAGTTTACATCCTTCAGGATTGATGAGCTAACGGCTAGTCCAAAAGCAGCCTTCATCAAAGTGTATTTCTGTCTACGTAAAATTTGTTAGTCCTTTAAGTGAACTGTTTTATTTTATCATCAGCGTTTTTTTTTATCTGTTTCTGACACAATCAGCAGGTGCTAAAGTTAGCAACAACAGCTAGTTTTCCATTACATGGTTATTTAGTCAGAAATGTAAAATAAAAACGAGGGGGACCAGTTGAGTTGGCACTAGTTAGGATTCCTCTTGGATGCCTCCTTGGTGAGGTTTTTAAGGCACGTCCAACCGGGCGGAGACCTGAAGGAAGACCCAGGACATGCTGGAGGGACTACGTCTCTAGGATGGCCAAGGAATGCCTTGGGATTCCTTCGGAGGAGCTAGCCTAAGGTGGCGGGTTTTTCATGGCTTGTCTTCTTATTTGTTTACCTATCTACCCCCCCCCAACCCCCACCCCCCACCCACCCATCTGTTGATCCATCTGGATGCAGGAGAAGTCATTAACATTAACCGTATGCAAAACTGAAAATAACATTGAATGAGTTTCTGTTTATTTTGGCCAATAAACTTTGGTCCCAACTATGTTCAAACTAGCCGTTTACTCATCAGCACGTGTGGCTGGGAAAAAATGTCTCAGACACCCGAACCACCAACATTGGAACCCCCCAGGGTTGTGTCCTCTCTCCTCTCCTCTTCTCCCTCTACACTAACAGCTGCACCTCAAACCACCAGACGGTGAAACTGGTCAAGTTTGCGGATGACACCGCCCCCATTGGCCCTATCTCAGATGGGGTTGAGTCTTGCATACAGATGAGAGGTGGAGCGCCTTGCGTCCTGGTGCAGAAACAACAACCTAGAGCTGAACGAGCAGAAGACGGTGGAGATGATTGTAGACTTCAGGAGAACACCGGCTCCACTGCCCAGCATAACCCTGACAGACAACCAGATTTCAACCGTGAACTCCTTTCGCTTCCTTGGGTCCATCATCACCCATGAACTCAAGCGGGAGATGTCCATCAATACCCTCATCAGGAAGGCTCGGCAAAGGATGTTCTTTCTGCGTCAACTGAGGAAGCTCTGCATGCCAGCCTTACTGATGATCCAGTTCTACACGGCCATCGTCGGATCAGTACTCACCTCCATCACTGTGTAGTACGCAGGAACCACCGCCAGGGACAAACGAAGACTGCAACGGGTAGTGCGCTCAGCGGAGAACATAATAGGATGCAGCCTTCCATCAGTACATGACCTGTACAACTCCAGGGTTCTGAAACGTGCAGGTTGGACAACAGCTCACCCCTCTCACCCTGGTCATGCACTGTTTGAAACCCTACCTTCAGGGAGGGAGTTCAGGTCCTTACAGACTAGAACCTCACGCCACAAAAACAGCTTCTTCCCCTCCTCCGTAATGCTCCCGAACAACCGATGAATGGCCAAAACACACAGGAATGCCCTGGTCATCCATACGCTTATGAATGTTTTCTGTCTTTTCTAATTATTTGATGTATCCTAATGTAAATACTGCCTGACCTGACTTTGACTTGAACGTATGTTTGCACCTTGCCATCGAAACTAATTCCTAGTAGATGAGCCTCTCACTTACATTGCAATAAATCTGATTCTGATTCTGATCGATCCTGTTGAACGTAAACTTTATTTCTCCAAACAGAGGCTGTTCAGGAAGCTTTCTGCAAAGTCTTAGAAGATTATGTAAAAGCTTTCATGTATGAAAAAACTTAAACGGCCAGAACGATCCATTAAATAAAAATGTATTCCCATTGCACATAAATTTTCTTAAAAAAAGTTTAGAAATATTGCAGAAAAATAAAAAAGTCTTGTGCTGCAGCTGCTCTTACTTTTGGCGTGTTTATCTCCAGCTCTTCATCCCATCCAAACTAAAACTTTTCCACGGTAACAGGAGCCCTTCTCATTCAGTCATGTATAATTTAATCACGTTTTTAGATTTTCAGTGGATAACCCTCAGGAGCGATAAACTAGTTCTTATTTTCCTCCGTTGCTGCAGCAGTAGATTTTCTGTTGTCCCGTTGAAGTAAGTAGAAAACATTTTGAAAGGCCAGTCTCGGTTCAGAAACACCTGGCTCTTTTATTGTTTCTTTTCTGTCACAGCTGCTTCCCTTTTTTTCCTCAATCAATCACATTTCTCATGTTACCTCCCACCTGCATTAGCAAAGGTCAGCACAATCTCATCTCGTTAGCCTCTCATTTCTGGAGGCCATCTTTTGTTTTCCTCCTCCCTTCATCACCTCGGCCGGCCCTCGTCCTCCTCCCCCCCATCCTTCCAGGACTCTCGTGTGGCTGGGTCCGGTGGGATCACGGTTAGTTCTGGCTCATTACCCGGTGCAGGTGATCTCCTCCTGACTGACAGTGATTACTGGTGGCACCGCTGGCAGAAAGCTCAAAGACGCCAGGAGAGTTTACGGGGAGGCTCCTATTATTGTGTGCAGGTAGATGTGTGGGTGATGCATCCTGGTAAGGTGGCTTATATTGGCAGAGGCACACTGATCACAGCAAATTGCCTCTGCTCACTGGGTGGATGGTGAGGAGGATGACAGCTGGGATGAGATGATTGAGGATGGAGGATGACTAGCTGCAGTTGCAAAATGAGGCAAAAATTTCAAGCACTGTATTTTGTGTGGAAAGAAACGAATAACTTCCTTTTTTATTTGGTGGAAATGAGCCAGGCTCAAACAGAACTAAGAATATTTCTAATTATTATTAGTAAAACAGTATTTTGATCATGCTAATTGGAAAAAGATTTTATGGAATTTGCACCGTAGATTGAAGTTGTGTTACAGAAGTTCACGACAGAGCCCTGTTTTGTTTGGATTAATGCTCCCTGTTCATTTAACAGTAATTCTAGATTTAAAACTAGTGTGAGGTCAGAACTGGACCTTTTTCAATGCCCTGCAGGTGTTTTGCTGAGGAGCTATCTCAGTTTAAAAACCCATGAAGTTAGAAGATTTAAACCGGAGTCAGAGATTCATTAATGCGACCTAGTTTACAAATCAGAACCTGGTTTGCACAAGAAAAAGATCTTATGGTAATTTACAAAATTAGTAACAATTTGAAATTAAGAGTCCTTTTTGGTCCAGCAACAAGCTCATAAGCTGATTATTATGTGCAAATTTGTTTGCATTTTTTTAATTTCATTTGACAAATTCCTGATTTTCTAACTTCCCAGCAGGACTGCTAGCAACAAGCACTTAAACTTTAGCTTCATCAGTGCAAGCCGGTTCGCTAAGCTAACAATTAGCTCGCATATTGAATATTCCACATAAGTTTTAATGCTTGTTACTACAGGTAGAGCGATATATCAGTCGGCCAGTTTATCTGACTGATATCAACAGTTTTTTATACATTGGCATCAGCCGATGTTTGTCATTGCCAAAGCCGAGTTAAAGTCAGGCATATCCTCGGGCAGCCCGGTGCTGTTGCAAAATTTAATTTAAATGTATGTTTATGTTCGCTTATAACATCTGCATGATAAATACTCCAAAACAACTTGATTTTGGTGTCCGACTATAACACTGAGCAGTGCACAAAGTTAAGATTTAACAGTTAGTTAAATGTAGAGTTCAAAAAGTGATATAGCTTCAGAAATTTTGTGCATTAACCAATGTTATTAGTGACATTTTAGCATGAAAATATGATGGAAAATGTCTATCAGTCATGAAAATTGGCCCATAAAAATCAGCAGTACGTATCGGCCATCGGCTGACCATGTCTCCTACACATCGGCAATAGAAAACCCAATATCGATCGACCTCTACTTGTTAGTTTAATTCAGATAAATTCATTTCAGTTTATTTATACAGCGCCAATTCACGACAAGAGTCGTCTCAATGCACTTTAAAAGTAACATTCCAGTTGAACCAACTTATCGGTGCACTGAGTTGGGTTCATTGTGCATTAGTTAAAGGTTTCAAACCCAGCAGATTGCATCGAGTCACTGGTTAGTAAGCATACTAAGCAAGCATGTAGAGACAGTGGAGAGAAAAAAAACCCTTTACCAGGAAGAAACCTGCAGCAGAACCTGCCTCAGTATGAGCGGACATCTGTCTGCACCGCATGGGGGTTAAAGACAGAACACACACACACACACACACACACACACACACACACACACACACACACACACACACACACACACACACACAAATGGAACAAAGAGAAATATAAATTTTTTTGTGAGCTTGTGAGCTATTTAATGACTGTAAATTCAATAAATAAACAAACAATCGTATTTTTGACCTGGAATTATCATAAAGTAAAATAAATAAGCTTAGTGAAAGGACAATGGCTTAATAATCATGAACATAAATAAATGCATACATATGCAACAGTAGGATGCACACTGACTATTTAAAATAGCTGAATTTAATGGATCCTGGCTACACAGATTAAAGTGGGGTTGTTGCAGTAAACATGAAATTACAGATTTAATCCTGAAGTGATGAACAACTGCAGAAGTTGCTCTATGCTTTTATGGTTGGAAATAAAGTTGATTATGCTTGTGATTAAAGTTGATTATATATATGTATGTATATGTATATATATATATATATATATATATATATATATATATATATATATATATATATATATATATAAATTTTTTGACTGATCTTCTCCATCCTGAAGGTGAGCAGCCACTCTGAGCCTTCATCCCAGTCCCTGAGCCTCCAACAGCCTGCCCAGCCTCCCCCTCCTCCCCCCCAGCCCCAGTATGGGTTACCAGTCCCAGAGTCGAGAGACAAGCAGCTGTGCTTCTCAGACTTCGAGGACCTCAGCGCTTCTTTCCGCAGCCTCTACAAGTGCGTCTTCGAGCAGTCCTTTTCACAGCAAGGTTGGTGTCAGATTAGTGCCGCCTTTCCATGGGAGCGTCTGTGTGAGCACAATAACATTCATGAACCTCTGTCAGGCTTCCTGCACACAATTAACTGGCACATCTAAACCCACGTTGAAATTTAGACACCTTAACATCGCTTTCATAGGCAGCATTTCTGCATTAACCTCCACCAAAGCTACTCCTGCTCTGCTGTATTTAAATAAACAAACAATCTGTTGTTCTGCATATCTGCATTTTACGGCGTGCACAGTCAAATGAGTAAAGGCAATTAAGGGTAAGGATTCAACAGGAGAAAAACATCTTTAGCAGAGCAGAAAAAGGAGTTCTGCAGCTTTGATAACAGCTAATTAGATTGCTTCTAAACTTTGTGAAGCATCTCTCTAATTGCTTCCTGAAGCTTTCAGGTCACCAGGCCTCCTCCCTCTTGGACACCCACCACCACCAAAATCCCACCACCCTCCTGTATTACCTTGTTCCTCTCCTTTATTCTTCACACACATGCACACACACGCGCACACACACATATGAATTTGCAACTGAGGAGATTGATGCGCTCCGTTGAGCTTGGATTCACCGCCTGACAAGGTCGTCTTTAGTTTGTGGTCAGGAGTACACACACACACACACACACACACACACACACACACACACACACACACACACACACACACACACACACACACACACACACACACACACAAAGCAATAAAAATGAGACAACAATAGTGTGGGTGGAATAAAAATGTGCTATACTGCACAGATAAAGGAAAATGACACAAATGGAGGTACAGGATGCTGAAGGAGACGTTTAACAACAATTAGGAATGTAAGAAAACATCGATACACAGAAATATTGTGATATTTTCTGTTATGAAACGGATTCGATATTTGAAAGCAGTATATACATTTTTTATAGAGAATTTACAAACACTTTTCTTTTGTTTGGTGCAGTTCAAGCTCCGGCTGCTAGGTGGCAGCAATTTTTACCGCCTTGATTGTGACGAAGCAACGAGATCTCACGATAACACTGGATGTGTTTTTAGAAGTTTCTCGCCTGACATTTCTAATTAAATTCAGTCTCAAAAATCACAAAAACAGTCTTGCTTTTAAGATTTTAGCATCGTAATATAACGTGTTGTCTACACCTTCGATTACGATGCATGATACCAAACAATAATTGATGCTTTAAATTACCACAAGCGGTCTGTTTACAAGACTATGGTCAGCAAAAACCAGGTGTTATTGTGTGCAAAAAGGGCAAAAAACAAAACAAAACAAGAAAAAGTACAATACGTACAACTGTATGTATGAAATGCAAAACTATATTACATATAGACTTAACGGAAACAATTAAACAGATGTGTAGCAAAGGAACTGTTGTTGAAAACAGCTTTAAGTAGGCAGCAGCAAATGTTTTACTCTCAGGGGTCGTTTAGTTATGGTTCGTTTATCTCAAACACATCTTTACATTACTTCTCAGCTCAGTCTTTTCTTGAGGAGATGAGTGGAAAACCGTCAGGTGAAAGAACATATGAGGGTAAAATCAGCGTTTGCTGTTTCTGATGAGTCAGGACTCGTCCAGAGGTTAAATGATTTTGTAAACAATCAGGAGAGAATTTGATGTCCAGGTTTTCCGGACCCATGTTTAGTTTTCCCGATTTATCTTTTCAGGTTTGATGGGCATGCCGAGCGACTCCAGCCAGCAGGCCCGGACCGCCTGCTCCTACCAGCATTCGCCTGGTGCAGGAAGCAGCAGCGGCCACCACCACCAACACAACCACGGCCAGACGTCGCACCACGCTCACCACCCCCACCTGTCTCCTCACCGGCACCAGGTGCACAGGCAGCACGCGCAGCACCAGCAGCACCCCGCCCTGTCCCACCAGAGCCACGCGGTGCAGACCTGCTCCACAACAGGTGAGAACGCGGCCGCTTCGGTTTCCGGTTACATGAACCTTAAAGAATGTGTGACATTTGAACATTTCTGACTCTAGTTTGGCCTCACTCAGAGTCTGGAAGACAAGAAAAGAAACAAGAAACCTGTAAAACACTAAAATGTGAAATCTTACAGCCATCAATTTTTATTGATGCAAATAAATGTTGCTTTTTGTTGCCAAAACACACGAGTTGTTATTCAGACGTTGAGTGATATTATCAGTTTTACCTAATAGTGATGTGGGAATCAGATTGTAAGAGAATATATCATGTGACATGAGACAAGTTATGATAAAAAAAAAGCAAGAAAAATGTTTTTTTAACCAGAAATTATATTTGAATTGTTTCTGTTTGTAATCTTTCTTGATTTATTTTACATTGAAATGCTTGATATTAGAAAACAATCATGTATTTGGGATGTATTGCAATGCTTTGCGATGCTGATATTGCTTTTGTGATAATCTTTAATATAGAATCCTTAATCAAGAAATGAAAACTAATAAAATATAGGATGTTGTCATTAGTTTAAAGGTGCATGATGTAAGAATTATATCCTGTGGTCAAATTTGGGTAATGCAGCCCACTTTCGAAACAAAACCAGTGAATTTGTCACTCCTGTTCCGTGATTGTCATGGCTGTTGCCAGTTATGGGTCAGCTCCAGAAGATTCTAGATGGCGAGCGGAGATGAGTCAGACACAGTTGATAAGTTGGTAAATACATTCAACTGTAATATTGAGTTGTTGCTGATTGAAAAAGTAGCTTGAGATTTTTTTTAGAGCCGAAAGTGTGATGTTAATTTTCTGTTAGCATTGTTAGCTTAACGTTAGCCTCTAGCCTTCTTCACCCCATTTAGAGTAAAACAAAAAGGTGCCGTGGCTTCTTAAGGGTACAAGAAATAACTTGAGTCGCTCTGGTGTACTGGCTTTGTATCTTTAAAACACACTGCTGCTTCTGTGTTGAATTACAAATGTCAGCGCTGCAGCGTTAGCTCATCGCAGACTTGGCAACCTCACAGGCTCACAGATTGTAAATGAAGACTGCGTCCCACTTTGGCCTTTTTTAAAGCAGAAAACCTGACAACCCTGCAGCCGGCTGAGAAGGAAATCTGTTTCAAAGGTGCGTCATGTAGAAATAGGGTAAAAATGACATCCTGTGGTGAAACTTTGTTAGTGCAACCCCTTTAAACAACTCTGGAGTATTAGCTCGCAGTAGACACGGCAGCCCCACACTCACTGATGGTAAACAGTAGTTACGTCTCACATTTCTTTGTTTTGAAAGGAGAAAAACTGACAATCCCTGCAGCTTAGATGTAACCTTCCTTCCTACATGATTGACACAGACTGCCCTGTGATTTATTTTCCCCTGTAAAATTCTCACATATTGGACCTTTAAATTTCATAAATATGAACCTTACAAAGAAAATCAAGTCTTTCTTTGATATTAGAAAATGTCTGTAGTTTCATCACGAATTACTGATGTTTTTTAATATCATTCATGCTTTTCAATGAAGTTGAAATTGTCTTAAATTTTAACACATTTTACACCAGTTGCAAATGACATAACTGCTTCCGTCTCCTCCATTATCTCGAGATATTACATGAATGTGTTCTTTGTGAACAGAAAGCATTGAAGGGTGCAGTTTTATAGTGTTTATTATTGAAAGGACCCCCAGACTTCAACATAGGGAAGCACTATTCTAAAAAAAATCATTGTTTCTGTGAGTCTGATGTGCTGAATGGTTACAGAACGCACCAGAACGCTAGGCTACTATTTATGTTTGCACGCTATTATAGAATATCTAAATGCAAGCATCAAATAAGCACCAGAACAATCAGTGTTTAACACATTTGTTTTAGAAGCTTTGAAGGTCATTTCCTGATTAAAGTTATTTACTTTATTGGTTTGTCTGTTTTTGCAGCGATGCAGCAAAGCACAAACATCTGCTGGTTCCCAAAGCCACCTCGCTGTACAGAGGATCCAGTCTGCACTTAACCGTGTCTCAGCTGTGAATGATTATATTTATTTCGCGTCCTTTTCCGCGTACAGCGTTCAATATAATGCATTCTCATATTTACAATCAGTGTTTTTACTTCTTCATTATTCTTTGCATATTTCAGACCGCATTTATGCTGCTTGCATCACTCTTAAACAAGATGAAATGGTATTAATTTAACATTTAACGTGCTTTAAAGCTTAAAAAAGTAGGCTGTCCTTCCCTTTTCCCCTTTTCTGCTCACCTGCTGGTGAACCTTTTCTGTGTGAAAGCACGCCACCTTGTGGCTGTTAGCAAAATAGACTGATATTTAAACATTTTAATAAATGTGAACTAGTTTGCCTGTCTAGAAAATTAGCGTTTTCATAACTTCTTTAAAGCTTTTTCCAGTTTTAACAGTTAAAGTTTTAGAAATGCATGAAAAACAGGATTTAAAGAGACTGAATACAATTTTGGGGCTAAACAAAAATTATGATTGGCTTTTGTTTTCATGACGGTTTATTGTTACTGACAGAAGCTGGATGGATAATTATTTGTAGTGAAAGAAAGTAAAAAAATTAGCCATTTAACTTTAAAATCTGTTAAAACAAACCAAGAACACGACTAAAATACGAACAAAAATCTTAGTGAACAAAGAAAACTTTTATTTCACATACAAGCTTCATTTATGATATTACTAATAAACGGTGAGTAAGTGTACTGTTTGGTTGCATGTTTAGATTCAGCATTACAGTTTTTTTTGATTGCTAAAACACGTTTCTTTCAAAACTGCACACACAAAACTCCAAACATAACACACAAATTGCTAAACCGTGGCTTCCCTTTGCAACAAAACCCTGCCATCACATATCGTAACATGTTCCCAAAATGGAACACGTGTTTTCATTTGGTAAACACAGCCACATTTTCACATGACACACACATACCATTCATTGCTTAAACACAAGTAGCCTTTGGGGTGAACACTACCAGCAGGGAAAGAACACTGAAGAGCAAAACTGAAAACACAATTGTCTAAATGGAACACAATGAATTACACACTGAATGTATGATAGTGCCCACTTTTCTCTGAGACAAACATTAGACATCACACACATTTTGAGACAAAACATTTTATTTTTACGGTTATCCCCCACCCCCAAATTTTTTTGAGGCAAAACATTTTTTTACAGTTAACCCCCACCCCCAAATTTTTTTGAGGCAAAACATTTTTTTACAGTTAACCCCCACCCCCCAAATTTTGAGACAAAACATTTTATTTTTATGGTTACCCAGCCCCCCCCCCCCCCCCCCCCCCCCCCCCCCCCCAGCATAATCATGGGGCATCATGCCGCCGGTCTCTGTCTGCCCAGAGGGCCTCATCAACATCACAGGCGATGTCCTCCTGGTCCAAACAGCGCTGGAAGTACCGCCTCGAGTGCCTCATGAAGCCCTGACAGACCTCAAAGGCCACATCTCTACAAGCCTCCTCCATGGCTTGAAGCAGTGGGACCTGGCTCTGTGGATTCCTTTCGTACACCTTCCACCTCCAGGCAGAGAAAAACTCCTCAGTGGGATTGAGGAAGGGGGAATAAGGTGGAAGGTATAAAATGGAAAACCGTGGGTGGTCCTGAAACCACTCATACACCTGGGTAGCCTTGTGGAAACTTACTTTTATGCTGCAGTCCCTGATTGCAAATTGCTCACCAGACCCCAAAGTTTAGAGATTTGAATATTTGTGTGTTGTTGATTGAAGCTTTGAGAATTTATGTGGAAAGTGTGTGTAAACCTGAAAATTGTGTGCTGTGTTTTGACAGCAAGGTAATGTGAAATTGACATCAGAGTGTAAAGGAGGAAAATCAGAGTTCTGATATGATAAGGAAATCTTAAGTAGTGATAAACTGAGTCAAGCGATTGGGAACAGAAGTAGAGGTTGTGAAAATTGTGCCTCATTTTTGCTTTTTGAGTTTTAGCAATCGAAAACAACTGTAAGGGTTAAAGCAGCTTTTAGAAGCAAGTTTAAAGCAAAGTCATGTAATTAATCACAAGCTAGAGTTTAGATTGCCCAACGGCTCTACTGACAACCTTAATTTAAAGTTCTCTTAAGACGCATGGATAAAAACGATCCACTTCTTGTGCTTTGAGCTAAAATTCTGTCCATTAAGGCCCTTAAGCCTGTCAAGTGTGTGTTTACAAGCGACGGCCTGTCATTGAAATGTTCCACATCTTTATCTGTGAGGCTGTTTTGATGACTAAACTAATATTTAGTGGTGAGAAGGTGCATTCTTAGATGCAGATAAGTGCTGTTATCTCTAAAACTCTCTTCTTGAGGGTTGAGCATCTTTCATTCAGCTTCATCGTTTAGAAACGCCACCAAATGTGTTTTCTGTGTCTCAGGCATGTCGTCCGACTGGTACCCCAACCTGGACTGGCTGAAAGAGAGCTGCCGCATTGCTACCAGCTACAACTGGGCTGATGTGGACCTCTCCCCATTCCAAGGTGACGCACTCGACCAAACGCACGATCATATTTCTAAGAGTTCCGTCTTCGTGAACCTCTGACACGATAAAGCTGAATTGTTTGAGTTATGCCATAATAACACCTGGTGCTGTAACTGTGCTCTCCTAATAAAAAAAGCATTATCCTGCATCAGAGTGGTTGCCACTCTCTTTCTGTGGCCCACACACACTCACACACACACACACACACACACACACACACACACACACACACACACGGGCCTCCTTGCGCCCTCCCGGTTGTATGATGTGAATAATCCAATTAGGTCTCGACACTAACGGCCCATTATCACGGTCAGCGCACAAATCCGGCTGCATCCACATACGGCTGATGAAGCAGCCTGGTCCTGAAACACACAGCCTACTGCTGCCTCCTCTCCGCAGTGTTTAACCTTCCCTCTTTCCCTGTTTCACCTCCAAACACCAGGAGAACCACTTGTTTCTGTCCAAACCAAATGGCGAGAGAGCAAATTATTCTGTATTTTCTTCATAAAAGCTGGTAGCTTCATGCTAAAAAATCTAGTAGAGCTAAAGAAAACATCCTGGCTGAAAGGTTTTATTTATATGTTTTTTAATTATCAACTATACTATCCGTGATCCCCAATCCACACTGGAGGCATCGGCGGTGCGGAATGTCGCTGCTTCAAATGGAGTCCATTATAGTCTATAGGTTGGTCCGCACCGGCCGCAGCGTGGAACATTTTAGGTGCGCCACACTATTCTGCGCCGTACCGCTTAAGATGGGATTGGGTTCTTTTTTGCCATGAGCTGCTTCTGGACTGCAGTTAACACAGGACTAGACGGGAAGTGATACCTGGTATCAGTGTAAAACGTTTGGTAATTTTCAAAATAAAAGACTGTTGCAGAGATGCAAATTCTTATCTATGTAGTCTATGTCATTAAATGTGACCTGTTGGCTTATTTACTGCCATTGTCTTTTGAGAAGTGCAACGGTGTTTTCATCATTAACGAGTATTTTACACAACATCAAACGTGATCTTGTTGTTTTGGTTTACTGGCGGATGGCATAAACAAATTGTAACCTTTGAAGTCTCGAGGGATTTTGTGATCTCACGAGTTCAGCGAGAAGGACGGCGAAGAAGCCACTCTTCACTGATGTGCCACTGAGCACCGCTGAAGCCTCCAGTGTGGATTTGGGGTTACATGCAAGTGAATTGTTCTATTTGATGACAAAATGCTCATCAAGCTACCTCCGAGGGAATACCCGATCACTTAATGAGCGACTGCAGCAACCCAATGTTGTGTTTTTTTAAAAATCAGGTCTAAAGGAGAGCATGAGGCAGGCTGAACTCAACAACTGGACTCTGGACACTGCTCAGATGGCCGACCTGTGTTCCTCCATCAACCAGTTCTTCACAGCCACGGGGGTCATCCCCCCGCAGGGCGCCGCCCACCCTCAGCCTCAGGTCCAACACGCTGCAGTACCGTCGGCGCCGCAGCGTCCCGCTCAGCCGCACGGAGCCATGCACCCGAAACCGGGCCACCACAATCAGCACGGGCAGCACAGCCAACACATCAACACGGGTCAGTCCGCCCTGCTGTGGGTTTGGATCAAACCTGCTCGCATCACACCAAATGTCAAATAAGACTTTAAACGTTGAAGTTGATTTGAATCATCCTAGATGCATTTTTTTTTTGATCAGTTGAACCCGAACAGATAAACGGAATCAGATTTTATGTTGGAAGCCTCGTGTTTGTCACCACTTGTAAGCACTACAAGGATAAATCTTACAGCCTTTTTACTGTGACAGAGCTCAGCCCTTGAAGGGGAGTTATTTACCTCTGGCCCAACATGCTATTGTCATAGCTTTATAGATTTTCTAAAGCGTTATGGATGTTGTCAGATTCAAGGCAACCGGCTGTGGATACGAATAGCGAGGGGGAGGTTTCATCACCTCTAAACGATAGGAGATTCAGTACTATTTATCCAGCTCTGTCTAAGATGGCAGCATGATGTGTGTGTGTGTGTGTGTGTGTGTGTGTGTGTTCTGCAGAGACAAATGTGTGAAATTTGGGTTACTAATCTGACAGTCATTGGCCTTTCCTCTGTTCTCTCACAGGGAACATGTACATGGACTCCAGACAGAACATTTCTCCTCTGATGGGTCCACCGGGGTATCCTCACATGCCTCTGATGAGCAGCACGGCGCCCAACATGACAGGTGACTCCTCCGTCCGGTCTGAACTGTGTGAAAGTGTGGTCATGTAGAGGTCACGTAATCATTTTAAAGAAGCTACGACTCAGAAAATGTCTTTATTTTGTTGCTTTAATGATTGAAAGAACAAAAATAGACCAGTTACTTGAAAATAGAGCAACCCTGCATTTACCACAGCTCGAAGGTTTATCCATTTTAGTGAAAAATTCAGGATTCGGATTTAGAGATGATTTTCATTAAGTGGAAATGATCGTTTGCAAATTCTTGCAAATTTACATCAAAGCATTTCTGGCCTTAAAGCAGGTAGGTGGAGTATCAGGATTAGTACATTCATTAAAGACCTGGGGTCTCATTTATCAAACATTGCATAGAATCCTTACTAAAACCGTACTTAAGCTCAGCAAAAAAAAGTACTTATGCCAAGTAGGTTTGTGATCTATCAAACATGGAGTTCGCACAGCTGCACGCAATCTCCGCTTCATAAATCGGAGACTAACGAGAAAGGTTCTCAGCTGCATTTTAGTCACATCCCGCCCTCACCACGCCCACTTCCTGCCATAAATAGTCAATGCAAAGTGCCTTGTGGATCTCATGCATATACATAAGCCGGCTGTTGCAGCGCTCCGCCAATGACAATGGCTACCGTAGATAAAGGAGGCGTTATTTCACAGAAGCAGAAATTGCGGTACTTGTGGGTGAGGTGGAGAAATGAAAGGAAGTGCTTTTGCAAAACAAATAAGAGAAAATGGAGTGGCACAGTGTTGCTGAAGCCGTCAATGTTGTGAGTTCTTCAGAGAGATCTGTGGCGGATACAAATAAAATGGTCCAATCTGGATTCAGTCCCCAGACTCCTGGGTGAAAGTCACGCGTGCTAACCAGTCACCCAAACGGAGATCTCCCCTGTACAACTAGCCAGGGCGCATCATCAATCAGCTCACAGTGACAGGACACACACACTGTCACAGACGCGTGGCATTCTGTCTCAATCTGTCCCCCTGCTGATATTCTGCATTCCATATTCTGCGCTTCAGGCTGTCTGTGTGTGCATGTGTGTGTGTGTGTGTGTGTGTGTGTGTGTGTGTGTGCGTGTGTGTGCGTGTGGGGGGTCTTGTTCTGTGTGAAAACAAAGCAGTACAAGTGATAATGCTGCAGGATTTCATAATTGTATCCTTCTCAGCAGCAGCACTGCAGGTGCTCTCCACGTCCAACATGTGCGTAAGCCAGGTCCTTAATCAACTTAAAGTTGTGTACATTTTTTCCGCTAAGTTTTCTTTCATAAATCCCAAAGTTTGCGTGGAAAGTTGCTTACGCAGTTTTCTGACCCCGTTTTGTGCGTAAGCAAGCTCAATAAATGAGGCCCCTGTCCTTTAAGTGTTCTACTGCCCTCTGGTGGAGGATCTACAGGTGGCAATAACCAATTTACTCTTAATTTCCCTCTGGGATTAATAAAGTATCTTTCAATTGAATTTGAATTTAGTGTTATATATTATGATTATTATATAGTTATTATATTAATTGCAGCCAATAAATATTTATTTTGTGTTTAGAGCAATCACACATTGTAAAAATAACAATATATAATTAGAAACACTAAACATACTTTACTTCCAGTAAAGGAACATTAGAGAAGAAATTAGTGGCCACTTTGGAGCCATTGTAGATACTGTACTGAACAACCTCTATTTAGAGAAATAGAGATTACACTGAAAACAATCATTTAGTTAAGTTTACTAATGAGTTCATGGCCTTTAGAGAATAAAAACCAAACGGATCTTCTTGGCTGATGTACAAAATCCTGATCCACCATGGTGGAATCACTTCCTGTTTATCTAATTATTTGTTCATTATTTTCAGCTAAATTTATAAGATTCACACAGCATGTTTTTTAGTTTCAGTGAGTTTTCTGCACCCGGTTGACTTGCTTTTGTTCACAGGTCGCCACAACCAGCTGAACCACCAGCAGCAACAGCACACGCTGCCACCAGAGCACTTTCAGGTGAGACGCATGCTCGCTGCTGACGACATCCAGGACGACTTTGACTGGGACTCCATCGTCTAGACCGGGTACAAGGCTGGAAACAGTGGGGGTAAGAAGGGGGCCAATCCGCTCCTTTCATCTGCCTGAAGAGACGGATGACAATCCATCAGAATACTAACTGAAAGTCACTTTTAAAGAGTCGGGACTTCTTTTTTAATAAAAGTGGCTGGAAGTTCTAAAGACAATCATCTGACAGTAAAGGACAGACTTTTTACGTCGTGTGGGAAAACCCAAGAGGGGTCGCCAAAGTGTCGTCAAAACTTCTGTGAATTTCTTTTTTTTTTTTTATCTTAAACGTGTTTCGTGCTGCAGCGTGCGTCCTGCGTCTGCAAAGTTTCGCCACCTGTGAGAAGAAAAATGAACAGGAAAAAAAACTGCCTGCAGAGAAAAGCAAACCACATTTCTTACACGCAATCCAAGCATGTGCCGATATTTCATCTTCTTTGTAACAATTTCTTCACTCTTGTTTGTTTCTGGACCTCTCTATGCTGCTGAGAGGTGGAGCGCCACCTGCTGGTTAACACAGGCACAAATCAACTTAATCTGGTTCAGTTTTCCCTGATCTTTCTTTAATTTCAGCCTAATTTACAGCATCTTTTCACATGTGTAGCAGTTCCATCTTCTCAGGGTGGAATGCTCACATCCCGTCTTCACGCCTGTGCTGTTTATTTAAATATGTGAGGTTAGCCGTGTGGTGCTGTCAGTGTTTGGATTCTGTTGGTTTGCAGAAAACATCTTATTTTGAGTCATTGAATGAGACAGGATCACCGTTATGTCAGATTAATAAGCTAAGGCAAACAGTGTTACCATGGGATGAGCTTTTCAGTAACAATAACAGGACACATTTGGACTTTTTCTATGTAAAAACCCAGTTTTCTGATATATGATTTAGATTTTTAAGATTCTGTGACGATTTTAATCTCTGAAAAGTCAAAGAAAGTTAAAATGAGATTTCAAGATGCTTCATTAGGGAGGAAAAAAGGCAATTTTGCACAAGCTGGTTAGCATCTATGTTATTTAAAAAAAGAACAACAAGGAAGCAAAGACTTCACTTTGTTTTGTTTATGGTGATGTTAATTTTGTCTATGTGTACAATTGCGTATAGTTGTCTCTGATTTCACACAGTTTAAAAAAATCCTCCTGGAACAAATTAATTTCATGGTTTTAACACTTAAGCTCTTATAGCTCCAACAATGAGACACGGAGGCTTCACGTGCTGCTTGATTCAGAGCATTTCTGCGATTCATTGTAGAAAAAAAGCTAAACATGAAATATTTCCATTGAATGCTGTATAGCAGTGACCAGCATATGTATATCTTCTATGTTTGTGTGTTTTCTGTCCTTGTAAATATCAGTACGTTACCCTTCTGTTTGAAAAAGACGGATCAGAAAAGAAGAAAAAAAAAGAAGCAGCAACAAACGGAGACAATATTTTGTAATTTGACCTTCAAGATTTGCATCATGTACATATTTTCAGTATATAGGTGATGTAAAAAAAAAAAGGAAAATTGGCAATATGTGTGTGTCATGAATATTCTGTGTATGGCGGATAAAATGTTAAAAACCTGTTAAGTGTTTATTAAAACGTTATGGGCCGTTTTTACTGAGCTGCTGCAACTGCTACCCTTATTCTGTCTTGTGTCAAAGTTACTTCCGCAGTGCTGCTGTGGTGACTGAATCCTGCAGGGGGAACTAATCTCAGATTATTAAACTTTGCATTTGCAGATTATTTTGAGTGTCTTTGCCCCTCTCGTAGCTTGTTGTCCAACAGGTGTCAGCCAAGATCCAAGCAGCATTCTGTTTGTCTTCCAGCCGTGTCTGCTTGTGTGAAAGTTGCACCGTGTCCAAGCTTCTTCAGCAACTCCGTTTCTCCAGTCTGAACCAGCAGCATGCTCCTGCTGCGATTTTATCGGCCACTTCCTTACGCTTTTATTCTGAAAGGGTGATGGATTTAGTAAAAGTGCATTACACAAAATGGTTAGGAAGAGTTTACGCTCGATCATTTAAAGGATTTTTAGTTTCTTCATTAATTTAAAAATATTTAAAAACTATTTGCTTTAGCTCTTTTGTTTTATTTGCTAATGAACAGCGGTTAGTGTCAAGTCTCGATAAGCGAAGTCACCGCTGAATTTATCTGTTTGTCAATGTGTGCAAGCTGCTGATATAGGAGCCTGCTGTGCACCAAAAGGAGACTAAGTCAAACACACACACACACACACACACACACACACACACACACACACACACAGACAGACTTGCACACAGGGCCGGTCCACCTTACAGCCCCTAAAGAGCCTCCTCCCAACCCGACCTGCCGCCCGCCCACCAGTACCAGCCCCCCTTCCCTCACACATGCACCATCTTTTCTCTCTCATGCCGTGTGCCATTCCCTCCCTCTCTGCCTGCACTTCCTCAAAGTGGTCAGAGCTCCTCTCTTTCCTCCTGTGCTCTTCACATCCTCTCCACCCTCCCGTCATCTCACCTCCACCCGTTGCTCGAACCTCAGGCCGCCACCTGAATCCTCTTCCAAAAAAACTTGACCTTTTTGGTGGTCCCCTCATCCTCTCCCTGCAGTTTGTGTGTCTGGAGTGTCCGGTGTCGCTGAGAGAGTCTCCAAACGGTGTCCGACGGGAGAAAAGACCGGGGGAAGAGTTTTCTGCACAATGAAAGTTCAGCTGCTGCTCCTGTTGGCCCTGGCTGGCCCTTTCTGTGCCTTCACACGTGCGAGTAAGTGTACTCTCTTTCACTGTCCTGCTGTTAGCACACTTTGTCCCCTCTCTGCCTCCATGTGCCCACCACACACCTCTCTTTGTCTGCTTTAGAATCACTCTGCAGAGGATTCAAATAGAGGCAAAGGAGGTTTACCCTAACTTCTGTTATTTATTTATTTATTTTTTTGCTATAATATGCTCAAACACATTTATTTATATTGTTTTCTTCTATTGTAAATATTCCCTAAAATTGCACCATTCCAACCTTTGACTTCCACCTTTGCTGAAAATGATGGAATTAAAAAGAAATTGGGGTGAAGGGGGGCAGCGTAACAAAGAGAAAGCTTTCATATAAGCGCTCGGTGTTCATTTAATCTGCCGTTTGGTTGTGTTCCTCGTTTGTTTTCGCTTAAATTCACGCCTCTGAGCCCAGACAAGAAGAACGGCTCGATTTGCTGCCGTAAGGGAAAAAAATATGATGTAATAGCAAGAGCTGTGCTGCCTGGTGTCTGTAAATCTTGGCACTGCTAAAGAGAAGAAAGGAATACCCTTTGGAAAGCATCCCAAAGCCGATCTCATGCGCCGGGATGGAGGGAGGGAGGCTGTAAACTCATAACACTTCTCTGAAAAGGCTTCCTCTTATTTTTGATTTTTGTAGGAACTTTTAACTGTCTCTTCCATCTTTTTTCCCCTCCTCTGTTTGTCCCAGAGACATAGCCGGCACCGGGGGTGTGAGGGGTGTGTGTGGCTGAGGCCGGAGGGAGCTGTAGGGCAGGGCACGGCTGCTTTGGGTGTGTGTATTAATAGTGAGAGGCTCTATATTTAAGAGGGTCATATGGGAGAGGAGAACACCAGGAGACGAGATGAGCTCGGAGAGGAGCCCCACCCTTCCCCGTTTGTTGGTAAACCGTTGGAAGCACCACCCCTTGGCGTGAACCCATCTTTGGTGGGGTGTCAAGCGTTGCCACTTAAAATCCCCCTCTCCTGCCCCCCCTCTCCTCTCCCCAACACTCTGCCTCTTTCTTCACTCAAAAGCCAACATGTTCAAACCTCAGACAAGAAGAGTGGATCTCACCAGTACCTGCATCGCTTCCTAAAAGGGTTTAGTCCGGAAATAAAAAGTAGATCAGCTCAAAAGGATTCTTAACCCTTCTGTCTGTTCTCGACAAAACAGAACAAAGAAAGTCACTCGTGCGTCATCGTCGCTGCACAAGCGGACACTTTTAACTCCATTTCTTCTGCTGTTTTAACGAGGAACCCCCGTAACTCCAGTAAAAACCCCCTTCCTTGCACCATTTCCCCGGTCTCACTCTTAATGAGCTTTGTCTGCCTCGCCGGCTCAATAACATCCTGATTACATCTGGCCACCGAGTTCAGCACCCTTCGCTCCATCCTGCTCTTTAGAGGCATAGTCAAACACCCCCTTTACCCCGGAACATGGAGAACAAACTCTTTTCAGTTGTAGTCTGTTCATGCTTGCAAATAATTTAAATCTGCAAACAGAAAGAAGCGTCTTTTGGATGATGCTTTAGTCCAGACATCCTGAGAGTGTAGCAGCTTCTGTCAAATGTTCATGGGAAGAAGGCATCTACACCTCTTTTTTCTTTGCAGACTTTTTTGGGCAAATTTGTCACACGTTTCAAACCCGTCTGGGTCAAAGAGCAGGAAGCAAACGGAAAAAGAAAACAAAGCAGCACAAAGGGTGTGTGATGGAAGGTCATCTTGATTAGAAGCCCATTAAGAGGCATTGTCTTATTAGTGATTTGCAGTTGCTTAAAATAAACCAAGAGAAGTGGAGCGTATGCAGGGTCACGTGTTTGTTAAGCCACCCATGATCGGGTTCTTTACGTTGTCAAAATGCGATCAAACCTGCAGGGCGTGAGATTAAAGACGTGCTCGATCTGATGCCAGGTTCTAACCCTGGTGATGAAGTCCAGATGTTGTAAGTCCTCCTTATCTAGACGAGGAGGAGGAAAACACGGGTTCCTGTACGAGTACGGACACTCATTGTTTTTGTGATAAGACTATCTGAGAATATTCCACTCTACCATGCCCCTCGTTTGGGTTTTCCAGTAGGCTTTGGAGATGTCACGGCCCAGTATCTTTAGAGAGGCCTCATGCTGGTTTTTGTGGAGGAGGATACGTGATACGGCATCTCGTGTTAGTGCTGCGAGAAGGGCAGGGTACCTATATCTCTATCATGTCCCTCCTTCAGTGCCACGAAAACATTCCTGAGTTCCAAAGGTGGACACACTCACACCCCCCTCGCATGGCCTTTCCCTCCTGCACCAGACTGTGAATTAACACACACACACACACACACACACACACACACACACACACACACACTGATGGTGTATCTGGATAGATGCTGCTACTCCCTTCTCTTCTTGCCTCCCTTTCCATGTTGTTCTGTACCTCCATCACCTCTTAGAGGTTGTTTCTTCTTTTTACGTCAGGCAGGAGACACATTCACACGGGCGCCTGTGTGTCTCTCTGAGCTTTTTGCTTTATTCTTTTAACATCTTTCACTCAGCCCTTTTCCTGCCTGTTTTCCATCGCACTTCCCTTCCTGTTTATCTGCATACCCTCATGTTTCTAAGGAAAACTGTTAAACCAGAGGTGATAAATTCAACCTGGTAGATTATTTTTGTGTCCGTTGTTCACTCAAGCTATTGCTGTTTTGGTATATGTAAAAAGACACATTTACATAAATATTTATGCATCAAACGTGAAGTAAAAGTTGCCAGTTGTGCTTAAATTAAAATGACTTTTTAATTCAATTCAATTCAATTCAAAAATACTTTATTAATCCCAGAGGGAAATTGATTGAATAATATAGCATTTTAAATTTATTTTTATTAAAAGAAGCAAATTAGTTGGTAAAATGACTATGAATACAAAACAATGGCAAATATTGCAAAATCAAACATGAAAAGACATCAGAGAGATTTGCCAACCTGGTCTTCAGAGAGTTTAGGATCTAGAGCACCAAAGCGTAGTCTCATCATTTACACAGAAGAACCAGAAACAGCTATGAGATCTTCATCAGAAAAGTGTGTGATGTGAGAGGAAATCTGATTCTTCAGGGTTTTGTAAAACAAAGAGTTTGAATTGAAATCCAACGTTGACTGGAAGCTAACATAGAGATGCTGGAGACCCCTGTTCTCAGAATGCAAACGTTTCTCAGACTTGCGTCTGAGTTTTGTATCGACAGTGAATGGGAATCGATGGGAACATCCATGGTCCCTACACAAAGATGTTTGTTCAAATTGGTGATTGAAGATAAGGATATTTTATTTTGGGGAACATGTAAAAAAAAAGGATCTTTATCAAGGAGGTAATTCCAATGACTGATAAAGCAGAGTATCATCAGCATATCAGAATTTTTTTTTCTTTTTGTATCAAGCTGTTCAAAGGGATTTAAAAAATGCCGATCCAAATACCAAGCTCTGAGGCACCTCACAGATCTCGGACATAACATTGTTTAAGATTCCAGTTGCAGGAAGCATATGTTTAAACTGTAAGCTGATCTAGAGGTGCTGGTAGAAGCTCCTCCAGCCTCAGGGATCCATTTCTAGCCACCTGAGAATTAGCCAAGGATGTACACAAACCTCATATATGTACACACAAGTCACTCCTCCTCCTGTCTTCTCAGTTCTGCATCACATCATGCCCACAGAGGCTCTCCTTCACCTTTCTGTCTGCTCCTCTCCACGGACTCAGTCCTTTCAAAGGCTTCAGCAGCAACAAACCTATCCTTGAGGAGTGTCCGGGTCATGGAGAAAAGGGGAGGCGGTTACTCACTGTTTTACCCCAAAAGGCTTCGCATAGGAAAGGAAATACTACTCTGAGCTAATTGTGGGAACTAAACACATAATGAAACAATTGTTGGTGGAGGTTAGAAGGGTTGGGTGATTACACACCGCGACCAGCCATGCTCTGTGAAGCACAGACTATTATATCACTACTTACAGACGTTCTAAACAATCAGTCTGAACGCCCCTCCTCCTTCAACGTTTGCAGCAGTGGGAACAAATGTTTTGTTATATTTACTCTGCCTGCTGCTAATAAAGCCAGTGCCAGTCATTCAGGGTTAATTTTGTTCCTGTGAAGAATTTCTTATTATTTCAAGTACTGAAGAGATTGGGAGACCATGATGTCAGTGGCTACGTTTAGCACTTTCAGCGGAGAGACTTAAACAGATTTACTTTTCCAAAGAGAAGAAGAAAATTCTGGCTAACTTTTGACATTTTTTTTTTATTTTTTATTTTTGAACAGAAAGTTGAATTCAGACTGTAATTTTGGTGCCCCGCTGAAGTCTGTTACCCTAATTATGAAGCAGCGCTGTCCAGGCTCAACTTTCAGTTGTGGCTGGAGAGAAGAAGACGGAGTAAGAGTTATTAGAAGGAAATTATTCGGTTGAAACTAAAACGGCTCATAATCCTGGGTAAATGTGAGTGGGATGAAACAGAAGTCTTTTCACTGCAAGCTCAGAGAAAAACTCACTTTTAAGTGGTTTTCACAAGTATTTTAATTAATTACAGACAATTTCAGGCAGTAATTCTGCACCTGTTCTCTTCAGTAGTGCATTCAGTTGAGGCGCTTTTAGATTTGCTCCCATGTTGCATCAGGTTTTAATTGGCTAAAGTCTAAAAAATGCCCCCCCCCTGTTCTCCTCACACTTCAGCTCCTTCTACAGGAAATGAGGCAGAGGAAGTGGCATTCCACTTCACAAAGTCACAAACCTAAAGACAGGATGGAGAGGAGAAGGAACAGAGAGAGGATGTCAGTTTGGGGAGGTCTCAGGGTGGGGTGTGCATGCTGCCGCGGTAACTATGCGCTGATGATGGGCTTTTTTCCCCACCTCTCCCATCTGCACAGACTGGAGAGCGTCTTTGTGAGATGTCATTTTGATTTTACTATTGCCCTTTCTGCAACTGTTCAAAGAGACAGAGGGGACAATGGATCGGCGTGCTTTAGTGGTTTGCTGCTGCCATTCAAAATTCTAATTCATTGTCTTTTTAAAACGCGACGAAGCTCCCATAACCAGATATTACAATAAATGTTCACAGTAGTCTTGCCTGAAAGGGTAAAGAAGTTCTTCACCAAATGCTAAGTGCTTTACAAAAACACACACTCCATCAACTAAAACCAACCTGTGAGTAAGTTTGAGGGAGTAAAATCCCAGCATAAACCACAGATTTGCTCTGCTTCTCTCTGTGCAACAGAATAAAGATTAGCGTCAAATATATTTGTAATTACTCTCCTCAGGCCCAACGGAATATCCCTCAGAAATCACCTGGACAGATGGTGCGACTTCAGTGGAAAATGCTCTCGTCACCGATCCTCCTCTCACCACATCGCATGCTGCACCTCTTGCTGACGTTGCAACAGATCTGCCCTCCACCACAGACGATAGCCAAGAAACCACAGTTGAGATTGTGACCACCGAAGCAGAACAAACATTCGCTTTAACTCCAGTAGTTGAGACGACAGCTCCCATAGAGGAGACCACAGCTCCTGCCGAGGAGGTCACGACTCCTGTTGAGGAGGTCACGACTCCTGTTGAGGAGACCGAAACACCTGCCGAGGTGACCGGAGCACCTGCCGAGGTGACCGAAGCACCTGCCGAGGTGACCGATGCACCGGGTGAGGAGACCGAAGCACCAGTAGACCCTACAGAAGCTGAGGAACAAAATGAGGTGATAGAGAAAAGCAGCACAAATGAAGAACTGAGCGGTGAAAAAGAAACAGAAGGTGAGGAGTTGAAGATTCAGGAGTAAATAATGTAAAACCAAAGTCAAAAGAAACTGATGTTTTTCACGTATGCAAGCTAAAAAATACAAACCATTATCTCACAGAGGGCCTGAGTTCTGGACAGATAGTCGGCATCGTGATCGGCGCCATCACGGCAGTGGTCATTGTCATCGCTGTGGTGATTGCAGTATTTAGGAGGATGGGCAAATACTCGTAAGTACCTTTTAATGGGGCACCGGTTGTAAAGAAATAGATGAAAATTAACCGTTATATTTTTTCACATTGAGGTTTAAATAATTAAAAAAAATTATATTAAAAATATCAAGTTTAAGTGAAACCTGAATATTTAAAAATGTATATTAATGTTATACTTTACATGCAAATGTAAAAGTAAATATGTAGAATAAAGTCTAAACATGTATAATTAATTACATCAAAATTTGGCTAAATGTCGTGTTTTCAAAGTAAGTATTTAGCCAATATGCAGATTCAGACTGCTGTAAAACATAAGAAGCTGTTTTTGACCTTCTATGTCTAGATTAAACTTTTACTTTTATATTTAAATTTTTAACATTCCGACAGAAAAATACATTTAGTTTTAATTTTAAGAGTTAAGAAATAAATGTATTTTTTTATAAAAACTTTTAGATTTAACTTTCTAAATTTAGCTTTAACTACAGATATTTAGGATTAACTATAAGTAGTAAATGTGTATTATAATTAAGGGACAGCTCTTGAACAAATGATATTCTAAATCAGATTTTTACATTATCATCATTGTTATTACATTATATCACTACTACCTTATTGTATATTTTAACCATTAATACCCCAAATAAAAAAATGTAAAAATAAATAAATAAGAATTATGAATGGCTTTTTTTATTAATGTGGACAACTATTACTTAAATATTATAATTTTCTGGTATTTATTTGTAAGTGTTTTAAATAGTTGTACACATTTGAAATTTTTATGAGGAACCAAATTTGGCAAATGGGACTGGTATTTTTTTATTTGTATAATTTTACCATACATCACCCCTCAGAATGGACAGTAAGAAGTGAATTTGTCGACCCACGTGTATACAACCAGAGTTATCACTCCTTGTTATATGGAGCCAAGATGTGTGAGCGTTTAGTCATTAATTCCATGGTTTCATTACATCACTGGCTGTGATGTAATGAGACTTGTGTCTCGGTGTGATAACGTGACGCTGAATGTACGAGTCAGACTGTGCTGCTATTCGACCATAAATGGTCCCAGATGATCATGTTTGAAAACCAGTTCCAGAGCACTAACCATCCGCTATGAGAAAACGATGAATAATAATAATTGGAAATGTTTTTTCTGTGTGTTTGTTTGTGTGTTGTAGGTCTGCTAAGAGCAAAAAATCAGCAAAAAAAGACATCACTATGGTTTTTGTAAAATTTCTCTATGATTCTGTCTGCTAATCATATCCACTTTTCACATATCTGCTTTTTTACTGATATTTAACCAAAAAATCTCCCCTAAACACCACTGATGAATCAAGTTGGTAGCTGCTCCTTTAACCGTCACAGTCTCGTGCTTCACGGTGAAAAATCAGGCATTCATGGTGACAAGTGGCTCCTTTTGGCATCAGAATGACTTTGTTTGTTGACTCAGTGTCAGCCTATAGGCCTGTGGTCATCATGTAGGCTGGTTTTATGCTAACAACTTGATTTAATACCCACAAACAGAAGCGCTTGTGTTTGTTGCGGGTGTGAACTAAAGTCAACAACTCCTCTCACCATTAGTCAGTTTTCTTGTGAGTACTGGAGTATTAACAGAATTAAACCAGCTTGTTAAGAGATACTAAGAAGGTGAAAGTAGCTTTTACAACCTTTTATAATTTGCCCTTCATTTCTCTATCCATTTGTGTCCTTATGTCGTTGTGCCTTATGGAGTGAATTTATTTTTAACGTGATGAGTTCACCAATCAAAACAGCAAAAACACCTGAAACATCTAAGTGTTCCACTGACCTCTGTGGACATGTCCTGACTGGTTTTCTCTGTTTCTCCCACAGCCCTTGAGGAGAAAGCCGACCAAGCAGCAGGAGCGCGTAAAGTTCTGGAAATTTTAAACTACTGAACTGTGATGTTGATTTTGATCCTATAAAACGAGCACAACGCCAGAACTAAACCAATCTAACGTGGAGCCTGAACTGATGCCAAACCAAAAGATGAAGGGAGGTTTGTTTGTGTTGATGCACTGTGTTGTTTGTGAGACAAGAGGGATGCACAAGCCAACCCCCCATATTAAGGAGCTGCTGACATTAAAGGCTCTGCCTTCCCATATTCCCTTGAAGAGAACAAAACAATGTGACAGCAGGAAGTCATAGAAGTATTCAAACACATAATGTAGAATAAAAGCAGAAATGATTTATTTGGCACATGGAGGGTGTGTTTCTGTACTTTAAAGAGATAAAGACTCAACGTAACACTAAACAGTTTGCTGCTTCTCTCTCCTGCTGGTTGAAAGCAAAATTACTATTGTAAACAACCCTGCCGCAGCCTACTGTAGCTAGCGCTAACAATGAGCGAATGCTAACACAAACCATCTGATCCTGAAAGCCACAAGGTACAAAAATCCACACTGTTGAATTAAAATATTACTTCCAGGTCCAGTTACAACAAAGCTAGATCACCATCAGTCCATGATTCCGTAGCCTCTTTTAGCTCCCTCAAAGAGGGTAGGCCATGCCGATGTTCACTCTGGTTTTAGCTCTTTCCTTAGCTACCAAAAATATTACTCACTAACTTTTCTTGACAGACTCCGTGACCATGATGCCAAAAAAAAATATTCAACTTTTCTTTTGCATGTGTTTTTCATTGATGATCAGCAATTGGAAAAAGCTAACTGCTTGCCTTTATATTAACTACCAGCAAGGTAAACAGCTATTGCCATGAAGCAGGCAGCTAGGCCACTCCCACAAAACTGTAAAGTGTGGTTTCGGGTCAGCAGAGAGCTGTCCAAGGTGAAGTTGGTCATGTTCTGACCTACACAATCACTGAAACCCACCTTTAAAGAATATTTTCAAGTGTTCAAAGTTGTTTTGTGCTACTTTAAATAAATGGGAAACGTTGGAGAGAAAAATCATTAAAAAGAAGTGCGGTTGGGTTAGAGATGCACACCCAAAACACGTATGTAAATACAATGCAGGAGCACTACGTAGAATAGAGCAAACCCTCTTTTTTTACAGTTGCATAGCCTAGCTTTAACTCCTACAAACACAGTTTAAAACTGCTTCTTGTGCAGCCTGAATACCTGACACATCGGCCAGCTGCATGAAGCAGATTGCAGAAGTTGTCCCGACAACACGTGTGCGCCCTCAAGGGCGAGCATGACAGAAAAAGGACCCTCATTTACGAGAGTAACGTGACGTTCTGCCCGCTTTGACACTGACTCATTAAAACCTAATACATATCTGTGAAATTTAGCAGAAGGGTTTGTTGCCACTGTCTCTGGTATTCTCAAGAAGGAGTTTAGCTTTTCAAGTGAACAATTATTAGTATTTCCGTTTTAAACTGGCTCCCGTTTAAGAAAACACGGATAAATTCAGAGTTTTACACTGCCAGCGGCTGTTAGACTTAATTATAGTAATGCTATGACAATGTATTCCTAGTTCTTCTGTTATTACATTACCAGAACATCCACCCAGTCATTAGCTCAAAATTACACACACGCTTATGTTTAATAGCTGCACTTAGTTTTAGTGAACAGTTTGAAGCAGTTTTGCCTCTTTTTTTTTGTAAGTTTTGCATCTGTAGCCGTGCTAAGTAGGTGTATAAAAAACCAACTCACAAAACGTCCCTGCGTGCTTTAAAGAAAACCTATTTAATATGTGCACTGAATGATTGCTTTAATGAATAGGCTTTAGACTCTGCAAATGTTTTGCAATGACGTGTTTGTTTCCTTTCTGCTCTGTGTTGTTTCGAAGACTTTAATTTGTGCCATCTGTTTTGTTCAAACCATTTATTTAATTGCAGTTTTTTGTTCATACTGTTTCAAATAAAAAGACAAAAACACAAAATGTTCCTCGTATTTCAGCGAGGCCTCTTCTTTGTCTCTCTCCCAATTAATTAGATTATTTGGTTGCCATGGCAACAACAAAAAAGCCACCTCTTTGTTGACCAGATCTGTACTCCTTCTTTCATTCTTGTGACCGTTACAAGTCTCATGACACTATAAGTTTCTATTTCCAGGTCAAGTATACAAACATGAACACGTTGCCTGGGGCTGCGTCCAGCTGCCCCCTCTGATTGGCCGACTCGAGCAGCGATTCGAATCTTTTGAAAAAGGCAAAGAGGACCAAATATGGAGAAGTGCATGGTTTGGGAACGTTGCGGCGGTTGAGCTCTCTGACAGTTAGGTGTGTGTTTTTTGTGCTGTGTTGTGATGTTTTTCATACTGTGCTGTTAAGCTGAGGCAAAACTCCAACAGCGGGCTGCAAATTGCACAGAGATGCTCTGTGTCTGGCTCCTGGACCTCCGTGTGGTTTTAGGCACCGGCCCAACACTCCCCCCCCCCCTAACACCCCTTCTCAGTTTCTACCCCACCAGCGGGCTTCATAACTCCATTCAGCTCACTTTTTTGCCCTTAGACTTCCTGCAACAATGGAGTCTTTTGACAGGGGCAAATGAAGAGGCTACGGGCTGCAGCTCGCTCCTGCTTCCTTTCAGCAATGGGGGAATTCTGGACGTTGCTGCAGGGTGGAGTCACTTCCTGGGTGGGCCTAGCATCAATCATGTGCTTTTACACGCACACGTACACACTCCAAAGAAATGCACCAGTGAAGAGTTGAATCATTAGCTGTGCAGATGAGGACAGCCTATTAAAACTAAAATAGCTATGCAGCAGTGAGCTGTCTGAGAAAAAGCTGCTATTATGACTCACAAAGCTAGTGATTTACTGAGATTTAAGTCACATGGTTTCAACAGCACATTTGTTGTCATCTTTAATTACGTCTCAGACATGTGACAGCTTGCGTGATGTTATAAAGTAATAATCTGAGATGGATGAATACAGCTTATTCTTTTGTTTTAATCTGAACTGTAATAACCAACGTAAACCCTATTGTTCAATCAGAAGCAACCACATGGACACCATACAAACAGAAGCAATTCATTTTTTATTTTAAAAAACTGTTGATGCCCATTAATTAATCCCAACTGTACAAACAGAGCACAGATTGTGTAACAATAGGGGGAAAGGGTTGGTACTAGCACCATGCATCTAGCTAATGGCATTTCTAAGAACAGCTGGGACTTCTTGGAAAATATAAAAAGATCTAAATCTTTAACTTAAGTAGTTTGAGTCTTAAATGTTTTTCTTGCAGCAACTTCATTGCTCACTGAAAAAATGAAGAGCGTTACAAAAATAGAGAATCACTAAACAACCCCCAGACGGCCCGTTTCCACTGTCGGAGTTTTCGATTGATTTTACCAAACCTTTGCGGCACGTCTTCATTTCACTGGGTCAGCCCAAAAGCATCACTTTCCAGGCCTTTTCAGGAACCAACCGAGTACCTGAACTGGGGTCTTTACTCAGAAAGTCCCTGTAGAGTCGCTGAGCGGGACTTGTTGACTTATGCTAATTCATTGTAACTCAGTAGTCAGGATCTGGGGTGAGTCTGCACATTCCTCTAATCACCTTAAGTCGTTGCAGGTGGGCGGCTCCGGAGAGCGGTCAGCTGCGGTGATTTTCCTCGTCAACTACCTGTGTTTATAAGGAGCTGCAGATCACTTCACCTCGCCGGAAGATTACTCACTTTGGGTAGCTCTTGCCACTATAGTAAAACTACAGCTTTAGTCTTGCCTTATATTTGTCCGTCGCCGTCGTCGTCGTCGTCGTCGTCGTCGGTGTTTTTGATGACCTCTGCCTTCCCTTCATCAGGAATTCTCACCACGAACCTACTCTACAATAACCTGGTTTTCATCTCCAAGCCTGATCTCCCTCCTCACCCGAACTGACCCGCTCTCCCACCGCTCACCTCCCTTGGATTTTGGATTCTCACTGCCGTTGCTCACCCCAGTCCTGGATTTCAGTCCACACAATAAGATCCGCTACTAACGGAGTCCTACAAATTCTATTCCCCTTAGCCGAACCCTGACAGTGTTTGTCTCAACAGACCCAGCCCCGGAGCTGTGCTCAACATCACTGCCACGTCTGGCGGTGCACCTTTAGTTCTCCTTCAAAATAAAACATTTATTTTTTCCTACCTACGTCTCCTAGTGTGAATTCTGCATGTCTTGGGTCAGGAAACTTCCCTCAGTCATGACATAAGTAGGAAATGACATCAGCAGATGTTGCCAAAGATTTGTAAAATTGGGACTTATGGAAGAGGTGCTGATGAAACATCACTTTTTCTAAACTCCCAACATCAAAAAATGTAATGCCCCCCCCCCCCCCCACCCCCCACCCCCCATGTAGAAATTCATGGTGCTTTGACTTTGTGATCTCACAAAGAAATGATGCATCTTCTAGTCATTGAACAGCCGATTTCTACATCACACCATCGCTTTCTTCAACCTCTGGATCGATTGAATTACAGCGTGCCTTGACAGAATAAAACTTTATGTCTATGGACTCCTTTTGGCAATCAGTGACACCACTTACTGCCGAAGCAGCGGCAAAATGCTGGCATCTTAGGAATGTCCTGAAAGGGCCTATTTTTTATGGGGACAATGGGGGAGAGGACCAAACCATCGTATCTCCCGGCTAATTTCCCCCTCTGAATTTCCAGGAACTCCTTCAGTGAAACAGGACTAAAGTCATTTTGATCAAATTCAGAAACCTAACCATACTAAGGAACACACACAATACCAAACCAGTCTAAATGATGGTAGATTCCCAGTGTATTATTTGGTTTGATCAACAGAAAACTCATGTGATTAACCATGAAGATGCTAGTCATCTACTGTAGTGAGATTTTTGTAAATATTAAAACATTTCTCTCTTTCAATGCAGTAATAAAATGCATATCTCATTATTAGGGCGAAAGAAGTCACAGGTGAGAGGCATCCTTACGCTGGATGGCGCATTCACACCCAGCTGTACGTCCACGAGCGCCGCATGTATCCCACTGCAGAAAGCAGCTGGGGAATGTGAGGAGAGCCTCACGCAAACACACAGACAACATGCAAGTGTCACAGGGCCGAGCCTACAACTGCTATGTGTCACACAGCCTATGACTAATCTTATCAGCTTGAGAACACGCCCTGAATTCAGCTGCTTTTAACAAAACCTATCTAAAGACACGTAGACAGGTTTTAAGTACCGTATCCCACTTTCTTCCAGCTCCAAGTGTTCACCTCTTCTCGAGCTGAGATGAACACCCATCCTGCAGTTCGAGCCCGCCAGTGTGCAAAGATATAGTGCGAGAGCGTGTGATGTCACAGTGAATCTGTCAGCCCAGAAGCATTTGAGTGTCACAGACAGCTGGGGCCCGAGGGTGGACGTGAAGTGCTAAAGGGTGCATAAGGTTGAGTGACAGGGGTAGACGGTGTGTTTGGTATGGATGATCCAGAGGTTAAAGGGGTTAGTTGAACCTTGCTGTGTCGCAACAGGAAGACATGCAGAAGGAAAACTACTGTGTGTAGTTTATCAAGATGATTTAAGTGCATGCATGTACTAAAAATAAACAACAGTGACTTGAGGTAAACTGCATGTGCTAACTGAAATTTAGGGCCATGAACAATTTTGCATAACCGAATATCCTCCCCCGCCCATCCAAGAAAAAAACACATTGGGCTCAACAACAGCTAGTTTTTAGAAAAAAAAATTCTGTTAATTGTGAAACACATTTATGAGCATCAGTTCCCCAAATAAATGGAGTCTTAGCTGAAAATATCCTCCCATGGAAGTTGTCCTTCACCTGTAATCTTCTACATGAAGCATTAACGATACAACAGCCAATCTGCAAAACAGCCAGCTAAAAATGCTTTTTCATGCCTCAACAACATTCTAGTTGTAAAGGGTTAATTTACATATTATTTAATGAACCATAAGACATGAGATTCCATAGAAAATATGAAATCAATCTAATGGATCGTTGGGTACTTTTAACCAGAAGATTGGAACTTTTTATTGCAGGGATTATGTAACACTTCGTATTAACTCAGAGACAACAGAAGAGAGAGTCAAGTTTTAAAAGTTTAAAGATTTATTACTAAACAAATTAAAACTTGACTAACTTTAAACACTAACTGTATGGTGTAACTAAGGTGAATTGAGATGGAGAATGGTGTAGTGTGTCCTTCACCTGTAATCTTCTACATAAAGCATTAAAGATACAATATCTGCAAAACGGCTAGCTAAAAATGCTTTTTCATGCCTCAATAACATTCTAGTATAATAAAGCTACAAAATATTGTGGAGTTAAAAATAAATAAGTAAATAAAAGAAGTGGTTCTCTCGTATTTTTCTAAAGACCTCAGCCAATAACATGGCTCAGTCCAAAACCAATGATTGGACCATCTGGTTGTCTGTCTCACCGAACCACCAAACGTCTGCATTGACCTGGGTTCTCCACTCATTATGCACTCGCGTATTCAGCAACACAAAAAGTCCCACAAATAAAAACATAAGAAGATCCTAGAAAATGGCGTTTAGAGCTCTTGGCGGACATGGCCTAGAGAGATGATAGGTGATGGAAGGGATGAGATTTCCGTGCCGCACTCGGGGTGAGGGAATCGGCACGGCCAACTCTGCTGCAGCAGAGAGTGGCATTAGACAGCAGGATTGTGATTTCCTGATAGTTGGACATCTTGCCTTGGACTGGATAACAGCAACGCAGCTTTATCACTTATGGCATGGATGTTTTATCTCCACAAATAACACAAGCCTGGAGGAGTTTCTGCCATGTGGTTTAGTTGCTAATGCTAATGGTTAGTTTCTGCTAGCAGAGACGTTCAGTGCTGTGTCCTGAACGCTAAAACAACAACAGCCTTCCCCGTCGCGAGTCAAGGTGGGTGAGTCCAAGCGATCATCTTTTTTTCTATCAGAATCTAATGCAGGAGATAGGTGTAGGAGATCTTTTTTATTCATGGCCTCAAAAACTCAGAGTGACCAATTATAATCAGAAATAATTGTAAAAAAAAAAGGGTTTTCAGTGTTCCACACCTTGAGCTTGTAACAACAAGCAAATAAGTGTTAACGCAGGCCGCACATGTGATGTCCGAGCATTGTTGTGGCGAGCACTGCTGCAAAACCTAAAGCCCCGCATCTGCATCTCTGCAAGAAAAGGCTGGCAATTTTTTGAAATAATTGATTTTGATGTCGTTTACCTTTACTTTCATGTGGCTGACAGGCCAACTCGTAGAAGATATAGTTAATGGGATACCCATCAAAGTACAGGGTCTAAGACATTTTTAGCAAATGACTGTAGAACTTGCATAAATATGCCAAAATAGTGTGTGTGCGCTCATATGCATTATCTGTACAATACTGTACATGTTTGCATCCACATGGTCTTCCCTGCACATCTGCAGTGCGTAGCAATACATTTCATTTTAATGTGAGTGACATAACGTGTTGTCAGCTCACAATCCTGCCTTTGTCTATGCTGTGGTGACACACCATCAGTAAGAGCCCCTTATTGTTTAATTCTAAAGTCCTGCTCAGTGATCTGTCTGATACATGTTGGAAACCACCTCTCCTTCTTCCCCTCTTTGTCTTTCTTGCTCTGCACTGTATGTTCTTGTGGATGTTGAATGTTTCTTTGTGCACAGACTAATTGGCACTAACCGGTGCCCATTGTTGCAGGATATGTTAACAGGCATAGGACACAGAATCCTGTCTGCTTCCTGTCTGAATTTATAGCCGTTTTTACAAGATCTACAGCTTTTATCATTTTTTTCAGATTCATTTAGTAAATTATTTATTTTATTTGTTTGTCACACATCACACTCCTCTTTTTTAAAATCAAAATTATGACTAACTTCTCAGAAACTGATGAGCTACTGAGATCTTTCAACGAGGGGGTCTTAATCTTTGGTCTTCGAGGACCGCATTCCAGCATGTTTTAGTTGTTTCCCCACTTAAACACACCTGATTGTAATCAGCAGATGATTAATAGGCGGAACAGGTGAGTCTACCACTGAATCAAGTATGTTGGAGCAGGAAAACAAGTTAGACCTGCTTGAGGACCGGAGTTTGAGACCCCTGTTCCAACAGTCACTTCCAGCAGGAAGTCTGACGCTCACCTCATCATCTTTGATGGACTCCAGTGGCTTCCACAGTCACAAGACATCCATTCGGTCCAGCACTTTTGGGATGTGAGGAATAGAAAATTTTACAATGTCTGCAATGTCAACGTCATGCTAAAGCCATGCCGTAAAGAGTTCAGGATAGAAAAGGAGGACCAGCTCTAATAAAGTGGCTGGTGAGCATTTATGTCATTGTTCTTTAAAGTTTATTGGACTTTTTGTTGGTACTGCATGCTTTTATTTACCCAGTTGCTTTCCATATACATAAAAAAACATGCTGATGCAATTTGGATTACTTTCACATTTGTTTGACATCACTTCCAGGCGATCAGCACCTGCTTATACAACAATTTGACATGCACTTGGAGACCCGGATTCATGCTGCTCAATACAATCCACAGCTGCAACTGCCATCAGCTGTGAAAGACAAGCTGGAGTCCTCTGCATAACTACGGCAACTCACTATGACACCCTTTAAATAAACGCAATCATGTCAACTTGGCGCTAAATTAGTTCTCGAATATGAAGAATTTGTAACCCCAGTCTATAAAGCAGCAGCTCAACTGAAAGGCTTGGGAAGTAAATGTTTTAATTTTTTATTGGGGGGCGGGGGGCGTTGGTAGAGAGGTCTGTAATTCATGTCCCTTCATTATGGCTCACAGAAGTCAAGCATGTGGTGTTGTACCGAAACACTACTCAGCCCACTTACAACATAATGACAAGTGACAATAAGAGTGCAACCCATGGGCTGCACAGTGTCACAGATATACATGTGGGGTTATATGAGCTCCGTGACACTTTCTGACAGTGTAGGTGTGAGAGTTATTGAGGAAAAATGAGAATGGGTCAGAAGAAGCCACATATTTGTGTGTGTTATCAATCCTACATTTGAAAGCAAGATGTGGGTTTTATTCAATCAACAGTCCTAAAACTGACAAGAGTAGTTCAAATGTTTGGAATATGACCCATTTCTCTCTGTGACATTCAATTGAATTATTGAGCTTGTAATTTATAGTTACAGATTTATTTGCTGTTTAGCCAAGTAAATGAATTATGCATGCATGAATTGATGCAGTGTAACAACCTCTCTTTCTATCCAAATCGTGCATTTTTTTTCCCGATTTTAACGACTGTGTTCCATATAATGCTGCAGTTTAAGCACAATTAATAGCACAAATACAACTACTATAGCTAGATTTGGAAACATTGCACGGTGTAATTGGTGTAAACTGTTTAAAGGGATTCTATAAATGTTAGAAAATTACAGCAACACCTACAACGCTCCCAGGAGCAAAATTATTCAAACGCCTGAATTATTTTTACTGTTGCGCCCTCTAGAGGTTCAAATCATGTATTGTAATTGGAAAAACTCAAACAGTGATTTCGTTATTTAGTACAGATTTCTTTACTAATCTGTTCAGTTTGGATAAATTATGTCATATGAGTTAAATAATTTTAATTTAGCCATATATATTCTTGCTCAGTAGAATGTATGACTTATAATAATAATAATAATAATAATAATAATAATAATAATAATAATAATAATGAAGAAGAAACAATCTATATTATATAGCGTCTCTTAAGATAAAAATCACAATGCGCTTCACATGAAAGACAAAAAACAAGATAAAAATTATTTAAAAAAATGATTTTGTTTCTTTACTACTTTTTAGTCTAAATAATTTTCTTCCCGTTTAATTACCTAAAGGAATGTGTCTTTTGCAGCAGAAATGTTTACATGTGAATGTCACACATTTGTTTCCTCTTGTTTAAGACGATTTTGAAGAGGAAAACGAATAGACGGTGTTATTTGTGGTGTTCAACAAACCTGTTTCTGATTGGTCATTTTTCAACATCCTGATTTTCTGTCCAATCAGAGTGCCAGAACTTTGTTGATACACTGAAGGGGTTTAAAACAGCTGTCTACACGCTGCATAACGGGACAGTTTAAAACATTTCTGTGGCAGTTCGGGAGCAGGTGCTTGTAAGTATTGCGAATATTGAAACTGTTTTATTCATTAGTTTGCGCTTCCTGCGCTTGTTGAACATTCTGTTTAGTTCTAGCGAGCACTAACATGCTAGCATTTCAGCTAGCATCGTGTTAACGTTAAAAGGTCGACAACAGCTCTTTTTGACTTTGACGCTGAACGGGTTTCTACGAGCCCACGGTGAAAGCTTGTTCGTGCCTCCTTTTTGTTTGGTGAGCAGTTAAAATCCTGCATTTAAAAACGAGTTGACCTTAAAGTAAGTGAGCTAACTGCTTCCGAAACCGAAGAGTAATGTGTCGACGTGTTGTGTGAGCAGTTAGCAATGGAGCAAGGACGTGGGAGGCAGCGTCACCAAACCGGGTGAAGCCGATGTGCGTGAACGCACCTTTTAAAGCTTGTCCGTAAATCAGCTAAATTTTAGGTTTTATAATTAATTGTTTTGTGCTGGGTGTCAAATGAGCCTGTTGACAGCTGAAATAAAAGCAACACTAAGGAATTGTGTCGAATAAATCCGTACTGTAGGCCCTTAAATGCACTGATCGACTATTTCTACAATTCTTGTGCAACTAGAACGCATCAAGGTGTTTTTAAAATGGTGTGCATAAACATCAGATTAGGTCTTTGCTTACAGATCATGGCTATTTTACAGTGAAATCTCAAATTAATATTTTTAAAGGTGTGCTCATATATCCGAGTTTTTAAATAAAACTAATAAAATTGACCAAAATAACAGTGGAGTTTGATTTCAGTGCTATTAATTCACATTCAGTCGGACTCTGATGGTTTCACCAGGACAAATCAGACACATGAAAGGACCTGCCATCTTGTCTTGCCATTATAAAGTGACTGCCAAAAGACAGTGATTTACTAAAACACGAATCCTTCTCTGGGATTCTTATAATAAAATATTGGAAATTGATTTTTAAACATGAAGAAATAAAAGGCAACCTCTAAATATGTAATCACTAGGATATATTAGAGGGATTTGTGTTGGTACTCCCATTAAGAAGCTAAATAATAAAATCATGAAAATATCTAGTCATGCAAAGTGGTAGCCCATTATCTGTCATTTAATATTGAAACACATCCTTGTGGTCATTTGCATAATTTCACAGCTGATCCAGGAACCAAATAACCTGAGATAAATTACTATGCGTCTCATCTGCATTCACATCCCACCTGCTTACTCTTATGTTATAGTGCTTCTCATCATTTTAATGTCTCATTAGAGTTAAGATCTGGCTTTATTGATAACTTTTTTCTATTCTTGTTTCAGCAGATTTAAAACCCCTGTTGATGACGCTCTAAAGCACCTGGTCTGCATTGGCAATAAAAATGGTAAGCTGAGCCTGACGACTTGTCATACAATACCAAGAAAGTGCTTTAACGCAGCTTGAGTTATTTTTTTTTATTTTATTTTTTTGGCAACACTCTAAGAGCCCTGTCTAAAGACTGAAATAATATAGCAGAATACAAATGAGCCCATAGCTTTTAGATTTAAATGGATCAATATTTAAAAATGTTGTCCCATCTGAATTGCCATTAATAACAAATATTTCTTGATCTTCGCTAAATCAGGGTATATTTGTACATTTATGCATCAATGGATTTTATTTAATTAGTGTAAGTTAAGTAGACCTTCTTTCTTTTTTTTTAGTGACTGCATGCATCAGTCCTCTAGATGGACAGGCATTGTAGATTTATACAAGTACGACCTGGAATATACTGGCTTTGAAAAATGGTTGCTTCACTTAACTTGTGTTGGTTTGAAGTATTGTTTGTGTGTGTCCCCTGAAATTAACGTGACACATATGCACGCTGCAATATACGGTTAATCAGTTAGCAGAGTTGACAAAATGCATGAGACACTCTTGCCATGGTCACTCCGTCTCTGGTTTAAAGGTATTTCATACAGTCTATGATACTGCTGCTGTCTTTTGTTTCGGCCGTTATCTCAAAAATAGCCAGTTACTGATCTCTTCTATTGACGCCATGTTTGTTTTGGTTGTGCACCAAAAACCCAGAACTCTATTTGGTCTACTGTACCACCTAGTAGAATTCTCCAGTACTACATGCAGTGCAGCAGCAAGTATGTGAACAAAGACGCAGCCTGCTGCCTTCGTCAATGCAGGTTAGAAAGCAAGTGTATTCCAGGCCTAACAGTATCCAGTGGTCTGCTTCTAGTTGAGGTAGAAGAAATGGGTGATTTAAAAACTAGGGCTTATCCAGAAACATTTCTAGAATTTAAAAATTTTTGGTAGACTTAAGCTTGGGACACACCGGAGACAAACGCACAGCGGTTTTGAGAAGTCAAGTGGTCACACAGGATGCGCTAAGTGCTTCTTGGAAAGTCGCATGATAGTCACATCATGCGGGACTTGAGAACAGGAAGCAGAAAGTGACTTTTGTTTTTACATGATCAGACTTGCCGTTGTGTTTTGAGAGATTATAATTTATAAAAAATGAGTACGCTATTTATTAGAATTAGGGATGTCCTGATCCAACTTTTTCACTTCCAATACAATACCGACATTGCAGCCTTCAGTATTGACCGATACCGATCTCAATCCGATATGATTTCAGCACAAATCATGCATACTTTTACCTATTTCGTAGTGTGGAATGTATGAAAGGCTTGATCAAGTGATATTACTCAGTCAGAGAGCAAGAGCCAGTAACAGTAAGTATGGAGAAAAATATATACTTTTTTTTAACTATTGGTTGCAAATATGTGAAATTTGACTGACTGCTTATATAGAAGATTTCTGATGCTGTTCGATATATTGCGATACACTGTTTTTAAGCCGATATCGAATTACTTCCAATATCGATATTGAAATGGGACATCCCTAATAAGAATGTTTTAAGATCAGTAGTACTTTAACTTTATTACTAATGCGGTTGGGTTTGTGCCGTAAAGTTGTTCCGCATTGTAATGTCTGTTGTAAAGTACTCCACAATGTTGTAAATGCTTGAAATAGAACTAGCGTCTATCTTCAGGAAGTGCCGCGCCAAGGCGCTCCTGGGAGAACCACTGCACTCCCCATGTAGCCACTCTCACTACCTATAATGGCCTCCATTTAAAATGACGGCACGGGCACGACGCGTATGTCTCCGGTGTGCCCCAGGCTTAACAAAACATTCCTAGCTATGTTGTTGAAGTTAATTTCCTTTAGTTTTCAAATGCATATTTAAACCGGCATAAAACAATGTATCTAATTTTCTAATTGTCAACACACTCTTCATTGTTTTTATAGGTGTGACAATAGCCAGAATCCTCAGTGACTGATATCATTCAGGAAACCAGATATATTCTCAGCGACAATGGACAAATCTTCCCATTTGTATATTTCTGAACCGGGCGAGGCTGTACAAAAAGAACCAGACATGAGCTGCAACCACACAGACCATGGATACCCCAAACAAGATTTAGAGAGAGACTCTTTTCTCTGCCAGCACTGTCAGCGACACTTTAGCAGCAGTCAAGGCTTGGAGCGACACATGCACGTCCATACTTATGGAAACAACGAGGCACGTGTGTACAAAAGCAGCACTTTGGGTTCAACGCAGCAGCAAGAAAAGACAAAACCTGTGGATGAAGATCATTCTGTTGTGCACATTCATACTTCATCCCTTATTTGCACGAATTCTTCCACTTTCACTATTGAAGATCCCACCGTTCAGCAACATACAACAACAGACACCAACAAGCAACAGCATGGATGGATTGTCCAAGAGAACCAACTGGAGATCACTTATGAGGAAAACGCCAAGCTGGCACAGGAGGAAATTCCTCAGTCATCACAAAGTGAACCATCTAAACTTCAGACAAAGCATGCTGAGGAAACGGTACCCACTTGTGGTCTGCAGAATGAAGGAGCACATGCTCAACAATACATACTAAATGTGCCTGGCAATATTTCAGAGAATATCCGCTTTTACATTGATGGAAAGATGGTGTCAGCAAACACGATCAGTAACTGTGAAGTAGCTGAAGTTCAATCTGGGACTTCAGCTCTTGTTGGACTTAACACCCTGATTGTAGATCCTGCCCAGATCAGTCGGCTTTTAAATACAGATGCAGAAATACCTGGGCAACAACACGTCAAGAGAAGAACGACAACACCACCTCTCTTACCACAAATTAAACCTGAACTAGAGGTGGCTGCTTCTTCCTCTTCTTCATCGCTCCTGTCTTCTTTATTAGAAAATATTTTTCCCCAGAAATCAGAATCTGCAGTTAAACAGAAAGAAGGAACAGTGTTACTTTCTCCAAACCAGAAGCAGGAACTCCTTGAGAAGCAGGAAGGTCCTAAACCTACACTTGCTCTTGTCACAGATGGCCAGAAACCATCCTCGCCTGTTTCCCTCTCTGTCCTACCTTCTGGAACGGGAAAGTTTAGGAGAAGAACTAGCTCTCCAACAGGCTTGCCACAGCAGAACACAACAGCAAACGAAGAAACGTCAGAGAATGATTTGGAAGACTTTAGCACTGGAAATGCAAGACTGGTTGAGTCACAGGACAGCCCCATGGTCAGTGAGGGCAATGACATGACCCTATCTACACCAGTGACAGAAGTAAAAGCTGTTTTGTCTGAGAGTTGGCCCCCTGTGATTGGTGGTACTTCTTGTAATCAAAAACCTTTGGACCTTTCCAATACGGTAAAAAGAAATGAAGATGTGGCATCAGGTGATGCCGTGCTGGATTTGAGTTTGCAAAGAAAGAACCTGAGTGAATCTGAATCTATTTTAAATTTTGTTTCGCAAGCAGTCATGAAAGGACATCCAAATATGTGCATGGTGGATGAAGCCTTGGTGAAAGTCGGAGAACAAAAGCTACACCTAGGGAATGCCACGACTCCACTTTTAACAGACTTAACTCTTGTCACAGGTTCAGATGTTATGGGCCCTCTGGAGCATGTTGCAGAGGGGCTTGTTTATGGACTTGCCATACCTCCAAGTTCTCTGGCTCCATCAACCACCCCTCTTACTCCTGCTGCTTTGGAGCCAGCTTCACCATGCACCATAGCGTTTGCTTCCCCAGTCGCTCACACCATTCTTCCCACTGCTCCTTCTGTAATTACAGTTTTGGCACCACAGTCCATTTCCAACCCTTCAAACCAACCTATCCAAGTACTGGCCCCAAACTTATCTCATGAGCCTTTGATAATCTGCACAGAAGATGATTTACATTCATCAGATAGTCATTTATCTACCCCATTTGCTGCCACTAATCCTGCAAACATCGTCACTTTTTCCCAGGCACTTGACCCGCCTCTCAATCTGCCCGGCCACATGTTTCTCTCTGATCAAATTGCAATCAGTCCACCTGTGGTTGAATCCAGCCCTGTGACACAAGTTCCGTTCACACCAACGTTAAGTGATTCCCTACTTAACATTGCCAGTAATGCAGTGCTAATAGAGTGTACGATAGCTCTGGAAGCCCCGGGAAGTGTTGTTCCTGCTGCAGTTATGTTACAGGAGAATGCTGAGCCTCAAACAAAAAAGCAACACGTTGTGTCCACGCCCAACTCTCAAACTGAGGACCCCACCAATCTTATGCCCTCCATCTCAGAGTCTGTAACTTTGTCCACTAATGCTGCTGCCATATCTGATTCTTCTGCTGTGAATGAACCGACTTCTGAACCAGACGCCGTTGATGGTGCAGAGCTTTCAATCAAAGAGGATGAAGTCCCTCTTACAGCCTCTCCTCTACACGAGAAAGCCGCTGAAAAATCCTCAGACACAGAAAATGATGCACAACAGACATTCACCAAAAATTTCATCTGCAATGTGTGTGATAAGCTTTTCCATTCAATGAAACAGCTCGGCCACCACGTAGCTGACCATGCAGATGAATGGCCCTACAAATGCGAGTTCTGCGTACTGCTGTTTGTCAAACCCTCTGACCTGCTCGACCATCGATCAAGCCTCCATGGGGTTGGAACGACTTATGTTTGCAGTTTATGTACTAAAGAATTTGTATATCTTTGCAATCTGAAGCAGCATCAAGAGGAGTTTCATCCTGGGCAGCAGTGTTCACATACAGAGGAAGAAAAGGGAAAGTTAAGACCTCAGAATTATAACTCGGCTAAAGTGAGCACAGATCCTTTAGTTCCCAAATCTCCTGAAGAACCCAGGAAAGTGGTGAAAAAAGAACAATGTGAAGTTGAAGTGGCTGCCGATGAGCTGTTTACGACAATCAAAATTATGGCCTCGGATGGAGTTAAAATGAAAGGGCCTGATGTTCGGCTTGGCATAAACCAGCACTATCCCAGCTTCAAGCCTCCTCCTTTCCCCTACCATAACAGATCACCTGCTGGTTCACTGGCTTCAGCCACACATTTCACCACCCACAACATCCCACAGACCTTCAGCACAGCCATTCGGTGCACTAAGTGCGGAAAAAGCTTTGATAACTTGCCAGAGCTGCACAAACATATCTTGGCATGTGCAAATGCAAGCGATAAAAGGCGATACACGCCAAGAAAAAATCCCATTCCGTTGCGTCACTTTGCAAAAAGTCAGAATGGAGTGCTGTCTACTACTAATCCTGCTAATGGGCTAAACCGAGTCAGTCAGGCTAACGGGTCCAAACCGAGTCAGGAATCACCAGTGAAGCTAAAAATACTGACTAAAAGAAAGAAAAAGTTGGTTCAAAGGGTCATGCCGCAAAGGAACAAGTCAGTCCCTTCATCAAACAAGGTGTCGCCCACGCAGGTGGATGAGCCACGTGAAATTTTTGTCTGCCCACACTGCAGCAGGGAGTTCACAATGCGCCGCAGCAGAACCAAACACATGGCGGTCTGCCCCAGGAAGTCTCAAGAGATCAAAAAAAGGAAAGGAGGAGACATTTCTGTCACAAAAGAAAACGATGAACACTTGCAAATAGTGAAAGAGAAACTGCAATCGTCAACTCAACATAACACACGGCTACAGAAATCTGGCTCTGTGAAGAGGCATGCCATTTTACCGGTGCAAACCGTTTTCTCAAGTAAAAGAAGTAAAATCATCATAAAAGAGAACACACAGGCAAAACAAGAGGCACCTACTGTCACAGAAGTCCCCATTCGCACTTTCAACCCCTCCATGAGGCAGTACAGCAGAGTGCATCACGGCATCAAAGGAGTTCCCATTAATATCACCATAGTGAAACCTCGGCAGAGCGGGCCGCAGGAGGTTGAATCGTCTCCCACGCCGAGTCGAGAGGAACCGACTGGAACCATCGCCATCCGCACTGAGCAGAACGTTTCAGCCTGATGAAGGAATCTTGATGACCAGGTAGTTTAAATACTATTTAAAGAGTACAGATAAAACTTATGACTTCTCAACAGACTAGTAAAGTCAACATAGAGGAGATGTTCATGATAAAGAGTTTGTAAAGTTTTGTTCATAGTTATCAGGTATCATCTACAAAATTTCTTGGAATTCAAATGAATGAGAGGCGGAGTTGGAAAATACATGTCGACTTTATAAGTAATAAGATATATAAGTCCATCGGCATAATGAGGAAGGTTAGCCATTTTGTTTCTACAAAGTGTCTTCTCACATTTTATTATAGCCTTGAGCATTCGTGTCTCTTATGGCAACATGATTTTCCTTCTCCAGAAACTCTTCGTCAGAATAGCTACTAGATCAGGAGCAAGAGCATCTTCGGCTCTCTCAGAGACTAAAAATTCAGATTTATCAAGAGAACATTTCTCAAATGTGTGTCTTCATTTATAAAATCTTAACTGACGGGAAAAAAATCCAAGCAGTTTAATACGTATTTGAATGTTAATTCATCTATTCACTCACATAATATGCGACAGTCAATGGTTCTCCCTCCTCAAAATATCTCTCTTGTCAAGGTCAGTTCTCTTATCTGTTTTAGGGGTGCAGTAGTATGGAATCGTTTTCCTATCTGGCAAGCCCGTGTTCTACAGTTGGTACTTTTAAAGAATATTTAAATGTAATTTGATTAAAGGAGGGCATTGTCTATTATTTAGCAAATCTCCAGACTCTCTTTTATTATTGTCTCAATTTTTTGTGATCAATGATTTTTATAATTTTAATGTCAGCGTCTTTGGTGGAGGCTTCAGGTAAGGCTCACTGGATTTTGCCTCCTCCAGCACTGTAATTTTAATCATTTTATACAGTTTATTCGATTGTTTTTTTAGGGATGTCCCAAAACAACTTTTTCTCTTCCGATACGATACAGATATTGCAGCCTTCAGTACCGACCAATGCCAAGCTCAATCTGATACGATATCAGCACAAATCATACATACTTTCGTAGTGTGGAATGTATAAAAGGCTTGATCGAGTGATGTTACTCAATCGGAGAAATGGTGCCAATGACAGTAGTATGAACCATTGGTTGCAAAAACGTGAACCTTAACAGACTGCTTCTAATATCGGATTGTTGATGCAGTCCAATATAATCCGGTGCTTTTGGGCCGCTATCGAATTACTTCCAATATTGATAAAGGAAAGGGACATCCCTAGTTTTTTTCTATTGTGCAACAAATAAAATAAAGTTAAGATGTCGATCAAAACTTTGAAGCTAAAATAAGGATAACTGAGGTTATGGTAAGAAAGAGACGCATCTGAAGGAAGTTTCAAAGGCATTCGTCCGTATATTATTTAGAATTGTGGACGTAAGATTTGGTGTGGACTAACTATTTTATTTGAGAACAAGAATTGGACCCTCAAGGGCGTAAAGGGATTTTCTTTGTTCAGGATGATTGAGTTTTGTCGACATGAGGCCGTAATGTAATGTAATGTAATGTACATGAGTGTTGCTAAAAAGATGCTGATTTACCTTTGAAGATTTTAATGGCAGAGAACTCAGACTATCGCCAATTGGTTGAATAAATTAGTTGCGTTGGTGCTGGAATCTCAGCCATGGCACAGCACCACGCCTGACCATATGTAGGGAGATACTGCTAAATGAATGCAAGTCAATGGGGCTATAAAAGCTTTTTTCTAATGCCATAGATTCAACGTATGATGTCCGTGAATTTTAGACTTGTTGCGATGCCAAGAAAGAGTATATTTTCGAATGGAAGCAAATTATTTAAGGTTTAGTGTGAAAATATATTACAATTTGTTACAAGCTGATGAATCTCATAGTTTGTGATGGGCATGCTTGAAACATGCAAAAATACTTTTAATTAAATTGAAGTACAACACATGTTATTCAGGGCGTAAGGCAGAGTGGATTAGAAAATAGCTCTTTTAGCCCGTTGACTTTCATTCATCTTTTTGTTCTTCCAGAGACCCATGAGCTGACCGAAAATGGGGAGACTTACCCCTTCTTTCCACCGGAGCCGTCAGCAGCACGTTACTGCAGCAGCACGTCTTGCTCGCGTAAGCTGCTGCTTGGCCCTTCCCACAAGACGCGAAGCAGCAGGGGAGCAGCTGTCACCGACAGAGCATGAAGTCACACGAGTGACTTCGTCAGTAAACACAAAAACAAGCAGGAGAAAACTACAACATGGCTTCAAAACGTTTGTGTTTTATGTTCTGTCCGTTTTATAATCTCCAATACAGACCTGAAAAACAAAGGAGACCGCTAGCTAGGTGATAACTTCTCACAGGGCCGCACATTTAGTTTTAAAGTAAAGCAACTGGAAGGCAGTACGTTTCTTTATTCTGAAAATGTCGGGAGCTTCTCTCCATTTCCGCGTCAGATTTCCTGTCTTTCCTTCCCCAAAAATGTCAAACTTGACCCTTTTCAGAGGCGTCGCGCGTAGAAAATAGAACCAACGCGTAAGGTCCGCGACATGCTGCTCCTGAGACGCGGCCGACTCGCGCTTCTGACGGCTGCTGACGGCTCTGGTGGAAAAGGTTCTGTTGACCACAGCGGTTCCTATCAGCAGCTATGACGTGCTGCTGCAGGAACATGCTGCTGACGGCTCCGGTGGAAAGAAGGGGTTAGGCTCCCTAGTGGAGAAAATCTGTTAATTGACCTTTAAAAGCAAATAAAACTTTAATGCTGCATTCACAATTTTCCTAATTCTGTTTTTTTCCCCCCTCAGGACTCTGCTATGAAACCTGCTGTTATTCTAAAAGGAGAAACCTGGTAATCACTGTAAACCCAGCTGACTTGTAGTCTACATCACACTGTACTGTAAATTCTAACAGATTAAAGAGTGTGAGTGTGTACAGATGTGTGAATGCCATTTTAGAGAGCCTTTTCATTGTGGAAGCTTCTTATCAGCATTTTGGACTTGTACTTGAAGATAATCTGACTGCTACGTGCCACAGATTTGGATTAAAATGGAAGAAATGTTCTCCAACGGCAGTCATGGGTTTGCACTTTTATTTATTTATTTTCATTATTTGTGGTTGTTTGTGGCCTTTTGGTTCAGACTTTTACTGCATGCCATCTGTGAGCTGTTCTGCAGCTACATTGATTTCATTATGTTGATGCAGTTAGATTTTCATCTCAAAATCTGGTGAAAAATTTCTAAGTGACCAGTTTGGGAGTAAATGAAGGCCTGTTTTAGAAGCAGGCGCATAAAAGTGGAGGAGGATTTTTGATTTCAACTATAGAATCAAAGGAGCGTAACACTTTGTGTAAGGTTGACCTCGGTCAAAATGGTTTTGTGAATGTAACGTTTTCTGAATTTATCTTTATGTGCCATTGGATTTATAAGACATGGATTATTTGAGAGTAGTGAAAAACTGACACGTCTCTTTTTGTTTTGGTACATCCCTAAAATGTACTTGTAAAATCCAACTTTTATTTTAAGAATGTATTCAGTTTTGAGTTTACAAATGACCACAAACAAATTCTCTTCACCTCGGAAACTTTGGAAATGTAAAGCATTTGCACATAAACTCTATTCTATTATGAATCGGAACGAGTCAGTGGCGGTGTGTTTGGCTTCAATGCTGATTTACTAGACCCGGTATATTTTCAGCTTCCTTTAGCCCCTTTTCTTGTTTTAAAAACTGGATTTGTGATTTTTTTTCCCTCAGTGATGCATATCTGTAACATACAAGCTCTTCATTTGTTCTAACCTCTATAAACTCCACAGTTTAAAGTGAGAAGTGTCTCCTGTATAAATCACTTTGGGAGTTGGTTTATGGGGAGCAAACATGTCACCAATCATTGTGTGTTAAAGTTTTGTTTTTGAGCTTAACAGGGTATAAATAGATGGCTTTAATAATTTGGTTGAGCTAAAACTAGACAAATGTTTGTTTCTGTTAAAAGATTCTGCTTTTTGTTTCTGCCTTAAGCTCCTGCAACATGTTGGATGTACAGGACGGTTTGGGAGACTTGTTTAACTGTGAAAAGTGCTCGTGGCATCTCAAAGTGTAAATTGTCTCATGTATATTTATTAATAATTTAAAATCTTCTCATGTCTTTGAATGATTCCTCTGTATGAATTGCACTAAAGTATTTCTTTTGTTTACAAGCAGGTGTTTAAAATAAATGCAGAATGTTAAAAGCAGATCTGTAGTTTGGGACACTTTTTTGGGGGTGGGGGGGTCATGGCAGCATTAGATTATCTGTTAAATGAAAACTACAAATAATCAGAATGTCCAGGTGGTGGCAGTCTTTGCTCAAATTCATTCATAAGTGGATGTGATAAAGCAAGTCATGGAACTGCATCACATCTAAACTAATATTCTGTGATAATTAACATGTTTTCAGATCACCTGCACAACGTTTGCAATATTCAGGATGATGCAGGGTTTTATGCTAAAGTCTCCCAAGACTACCAGCCTGTGGCTTGTTCTCCTGGAAATTAATGAATAATTACACAGCAGAGTAGCTGCTGCAAAATTTTCTGCCTTGGATTTTCCTTTATTTATTTTCCCCAGTGAGGTAAACATAAACATGCAAATGACTGAAGTAAAAGGGAAATTAAAGCGATGGCTTATTTTAAAAAGTCTGATTCCAACTTTTCTCCTAGAGGGCAGAATAGACGGTGCCCGACCTTTAAGATCTATCGGATGTCAACTAACGTTACACAAAATTCATCTAGTCTTGTTTCTGAACTCTGGTATAAAGTTGAAACTTGTCCTTACATGGTTGTAATAGATTCTGCCTTTGGGTTTCAACTCTTGTCTGATTTCCTGAGGACCACACAGTAGCTTCACTACAACAACCCAAAAGACAAATAAAAGCTTATAAAAACAGTCAGTCTGGATCAGCTCTGATTCCAGTAGCGTTTTTTTTATGCAACAAATAAAACAATGACAAAAAAATACCCGCTTTGTAAATTCATTCCAAATAGTGCTACAGTGGTTATTTTGGAGAAATTGATAAAGCAGCTAACCTAGCCTTTTTGTATAAAATAACAAAAAAATGATAAAAAGGTGGACATTGACTGATCCTTCACTCTTAAAATGTTTTATATCAAATTTATTGTTTTGTTTCAAATAAAATAAACCTTTCAGATACAATGAAATAAAAAAAATACAACAGAAGAGGAACCTGATACTGCTTATTCTTGTTCACAATGTGATTAAAATTTGCAACATGAGGCAGTTTTCTGATGATCGGCAAGGTACCACAACCTGCGGGTACAAGCACAGCTGAAGGAAGAATTGTAGTTTGGAGTTTAGGTTTTCACTCTTTAGAGTTAACATCGATTCTCATTCATCTTGGAAAATGGTAATTTGGACAAAAATCAGGTAAAAAGAAGACTGTAAAAATAGCAACTAGACTTCTCATTTCGCTTGAAAATGTTTAATCTTTCATCTAAAAACCGTTTCAGTTCTGATGATAGTTTGGGATGCAACAAATTCCCAACCCAGTTTTGTCCAGACAGCATGTTTTAGTGAAAGCCTTCGATTTTTGCTGCCTAAGAAAACTCCAAATCTTAAAAACAACCAGATATATCTTTTACTGCCATCAGTGTATTTTGACTGAGTTCTCACTATTTGCAGACAATTAATTAGCGGTGAACAGACAACCTGATGGACTTATCAGAATATTAACATTACTATTACAACAGTAAGCTTATCTTTTGCTGTGCAGCTATAGCAGATGTTCCTTACTGGACATTAGCACAATGGTTTCTCAAAGATGTGACTGTTTAAAGAACCACCAATGACAATTAGTAGAAACTGTATATACTTTCTGAATTATCATGTCTACATGTAAGATTTGGACAAACCTGCCAAACCCCAATTCTTATGACAGGATTTTTAAATTATCGGCAGATTTTCAAAGCATTAGAGACTCTGCACGTGGTCATAAAAAACCCACCAGTTTTGGTGCTACGGTCTGCAGCAACTCGGCAAATACACACTACACGTGAACTGCTTTTACTCAGACATTCACAGATCAGACGGGAAATCTTGCAAAATAAAGCGTGACTTCTAAGTAAACAAACATGGCGGAGGAGAAGCGTGCGGCATGTTTCCATCGTGACGCTTTCATTTGTCCTCAAAAATCTGACCAAGACAATCCAGTTAGTTTGTAAGACCAGATTTATGTTCAGAGCGATCCTGACGTCCTTCTGAGCAGACAGAAGAACTTGTAACACACCACACACTGTAGGATTATCTGATAAGATTATCTTTACAGATTGTCAGACAGGGCGGCGCTGGTCAAAAATCGGCACCACCTTGCCATGTACCGTGCCTTAGATGTTGTGTCCACATGGGGTGAAAGCTGATGATTTTAGGTCGAGTGAAGGTTGATGTGGTTGAACTCCTTATGGAAGAGGTCATGCTGATGAACAAGTGCAAGAAAAACTTTAGCAATAATGATGAGTTTACTTCGTTCACTTAAACTTAATATAAATGTTGCCAAATAATTGAATCCTCTGAAAGGATAACAGTTCTCCCCCTGCAGCGGCGATGAGGTCTCTGCTCTGCAACAGCATGCTCTCACAGTCAAACCATTAACTGACTGAAAGTAATTATTCATCAACATGCGATGTGGTGATCAGGAAACTAATTGGAGTTTTGGCAGCTTTGCACCAACTTTTATTACTATGAGCCAGTAAAATCATTTAAGGCTCCAAGGGAGAGATCTTTTTTCTCCTTTTTTTTCTAAATTCTAAAGATTAAAAAAAGCCCTGAAAGTGTCAGGAGGCGCTGACATAAAATGTTAAATGCCCTTGTCCCCTTGTGCCACACATTCGTATCTAGAACTGAAACACGTGACTCGGCAGCAGGCCATGTGGTACAAAAACCAGTGAATTTGCTCTCCCTCTGGTGAAGCTCAAAAGCTTTTAGCTCTTTGGAAGTTAAGACAAGTGGACTGGATTTTCTTTGTGGTTTTTCCTGATTTGTTCCAAATTCCAGCAAATAATCCCAAACTGAACCGGCTTTGCGACTGAGCTGAAGACGTTTTTGGATCCACTGAAGATTATATTAAAAGGCGTTTAGCTTACCTATGAATGGATCGCCCAGTAGAAGACTGGTAGATGTCAGTGCTGGTGCACCTTTAGTGACAAATCACAGCCAGCAGCTACGAGATTTCCCAGAGGTTATGAGCTCAGCAAGAACTCTAAACTGCGCTGCTGCATTTGTATGCTCCGAACGATGCCGGATCGTAGCCCAGGGCCATGCTGAATTCTCACAGGAAGTAATGCTGGGAAGTGAGGACATGAAATTAGGGATAGTTTACAATAAAACTGAAGTCTGGTGGAAAACCTTTGATCTCCTTTTTGTTAATTTCCTCATGCTCTAAACAGTTTTAGTTCTGGACCGAGACCGGCGAGGCAGAGGAAGAAAGTTGTCACTTTCTGTCTTTTACATGGAGATTGGGACTAGACTGGTGCAGCTTCGGCAGATAAAAATCAGAAAGGTGAGCAGTGTGTGAAATGGTGGTAGCACGATGAGATCTCTGTGTCTTAGGGAAGACGGATGTTACATTATTTCTGGTGCTGCTGCGACTGGAATGATTTAAGGATTGGTCATTCGATTATTCCTGCTGATTTGATTGATTGGAGGGAACATAATACAACTTTTTTCTGGAGTTATAATAGTTCTTTGGTCAATGCAAAATATGTTCTTGAAGTTCTTTGCACTAACCCCCTTCACATAAAACAGGTTCAACAGTGTTATTCTTGATAGTTTCAGTACCTTCTAGAAAGAGCAGTTTCAGGGCGTTGTCACTTTAAGAAAACAAGCTTGCGCTGGCCACGCCCATCGGTCCTCGCTTAAGCTGCTATAAGCTGAGAAGCTCTGATAGCCGGGAGGGGCTCAAAGTAGACCCACTGCTCCTCCAGCAGCAACTCTCCTGCAATAGAGGTGGTTCTATGGTAATAAGAATCGGGTCAATTTAGGGAAATAAATCCTAAAACCAAACACTGATAGAAAACAGACAGAAGTGTGTTCATAGAGGCAGAAGAGACCCACAGCAGCACAAAAAGGATGCAAAAGGTGAGTTTTGCAGAATATGTTCCCTTTAAATCAAAACGCGCCAAACTATTTGTGGTCTCAAATTTACCAAACACACAAACTGCAAATCAATTCCAAATATTTTTATTGCATAGTAGTTCACATTAATTATAAACTATGTTTATGTTTATGTTTAGGTATTTAGCAGACGCTTTTGTCCAAAGCGACTTGTGATAGTCGGCATGTTTCCCTTGAGGCTAACAACAACAATAACAACAACTTGACATCAGTCATGGAGAGTAGGGAACAAGGAGTGGACAGTAGAGAGGGGGGACGGGTGCAGGCAAGGTGCTAGTTAAGAAGATGCTCTCTGAAGAGCAGGGTCTTCAGGAGTTTCTTGAAAATTGAAAATGAAGCCCCTGTTCTGGTAGTGCTTGGTAGGTCATTCAACATTTGTGGAACGATGCCTGAGAAGAGTCTGGATTGTCCTGAGCGTGGTGTAGGCACTGCTAGCCGATGATCCTGTGATGACCGGAGCCGCCGGGCCGAGACGTAAGCCTTTGCAAGAGGATTCAGGTAGATGGGAGCCGTACCATCTCGGACTTTGTATGCTAGTGTTAACAATTTGAATTTGATGCGTGCTGCTAGCGGTAGCCAGTGGAGCTCAATGAACAGAGGGGTGACGTGTGCTCTTTTTGGCTGATTGAAGACCAGACACGCCGCTGCGTTCTGGACCATATGAAGATGTCTCACAGTACAGGCTGGAAGACCAGTTAGAAGGGCATTGCAGTAATCGAGGCGGGAGATGACAGTAGATTGCACCAGGAGCTGGGTGGCATGTTGTGTTAGGTATGGTCTGATCTTTCGTATGTTATACAGCACAAAGCGGCATGAACGAGCAACAGAGGCAACATGATCTTTAAAGGTCAGGTGTTCATCAATCACAACACCCAGATTTCGAACTGCCTTTGAAGGAGCCAGAGATAAGAAGTCATTTTGGATTGAGATATTGTGCTGTATGGATGGTTTTGCTGGGATGACAAGTAGATCAGTTTTAGAGAGGTTGAGTTGGAGATGGTGGGATTTCATCCATTTTGATATGTCAGAGAGACAGTTCGATATTCGTGCAGAGACAGTGTGGTCGTCCGGTGGAAATGACAGATAGAGCTGGGTGTCGTCTGCATAGCAGTGGTAGGAGAAGCCATGTGATCGAATGATCTCACCCAGTGAGGTGGTGCATATGGCAAAGAGAAGAGGTCCTAGTACAGAGCCCTGGGGGAATCCTGTGGCAAGATGGTGCATGGTAGAGGATTGTCCAAGCCAAGATACACTGAATGATCGTCCTGTGAGGTACGATTCAAAGCAGGCATGTGCTTTCTCTTTGATGCCCATGCTAGAGAGTGTGGACAAAAGGAAGCCATGGTTGACAGTGTCAAATGCTGCCGATAAGTCGAGCAGGATAAGCACTGAGGATCTGGCAGTCGCTCTAGCTTCTTTTAAGGATTCCTTCACTGCTAACAGAGCAGTTTCAGTGGAGTGGCCCTTTTTGAACCCAGATTGGTAAGGGTCAAGCAGACAGTTTTGTGAGAGGTATTCTGTGATCTGCTTGAAAACTGCCCTTTCAATGATTTTGCAAAAACGACACCATCAGAATCTGATGTGGACAGTCACCCTGAAGTGACCTTATAGTGCAGTGGTGGATTTAGGATTTTTCTGGGCATGGGGCCATCAAGGGGCCACATTACTGATAATCTAATCATCATATAAGGACAGATGAGGGACAGGACAGGGCCACTTAGGGGGGGCAATCAGATTTCAGCAGGGGCCAATGCCCCTGTGGTGGCACCCCTAGAACCGCCATTGGCAAAAGAATATGTGATGTCACATGCAGCTGGACCTTCATGGGTGAAAGCAGTGTCCCGATCCTTGTGCTCCACACGCGTTATAGAAAAATTTCTCCACCTGCACTTATGCTTGGAGTGGTTTTCAATCAGAGCCAAGCTTGAACCGTTCATCTTTTTGCCTTGAAGCCTTACATCACAGTTGAGTTTATGGTGATTAATTAGCTTTTTATTTAATGTGTAAATAGTTGATCCCAAAATGTATTCTGAGTACCACCAGCTGTACTCGTACCCATTTATAATGGAACCATTTTTACCAGCACATCCTTCTGGCTTCATTTTATAGCCAAGCTGTGTTTTAGCTCCCATGAAGAGAAATAAACTTTAGTTATGACCTAAATTAAAAGCAGATAGAAATCTATTTTTCTGATAAACATACATGATATTGACCAACGATGACTGAGCAGTTTCACATGTCAGTGCTGCAGTGCAGCTTATTCACCTTCTTCACCACCGAGGGTGTTAAGCAACAAAACCAACTTGAAATTCCAAAGGGCTGAAACCCTTGAATTGAAAATGCACCGCTGTTCATGTGGGAGCAGAGCAGACATTGTAACGAGGGCATTAATAAAGCATGTGAATCCATTTTTAATGATCCAGTGGCCCCTTTACTTTGAAACTGATTCGGTCGACTCTGCTCTCCGGATTCCGCGTTTTGCTTTGAGAGCAACTCGTGGAAGTGACACTTTATAAAATATGATTTCTTTTCCTGCTCGCAAGCAACCCATGATGTTAAACCTGCATGCACCTGACAGTTTGTGAATGAGACGCACGGAGACACAGTCTTCTCTATTTCTGGGAGAAAATCCTCAAGTGTAGATCTGCAGGGACAAACGGGGATAAAAGAAAGGGTTTTGCAGCTCACCGTCAGACGTTTAACACTCAAAAACTCATTCGATGGTGCATCAAATTAAAGCTCAGAATGTGCTGCAATGAATTCTCAGTGCAAATTCAGTCCCAGTACTTGAACTAGTCTAATTTGGTTTATTTTCTTTCCAAGACAAATAGGATCACACTTATCTACCCTGTCTTTTATACTTTTTAAACCATCACAGAGGAGTCAGAGTTCTAAAAAAGGGAGCAAACCACACTAGAAGGTACACGATGTTGGTTATGTACACACATTTACATACACACACAGTCCTCTCTGATCTGACTTTAACAGGGGGGTTGAGAGTCTGTCTTTCCTCTGCAGCAGGCGTCTCTTTCTCATTGCTCTATCTATCCCCTCTCTCTTGCTTTGTTCATGCTGCGCTCTCCATCTGAAGCAGCGCCACACTGGAGCACTAATGAGCAGGCTGAGAGCAGCCTCGGCACACAGATCTCCCATCAGCTGAGGTGAAGAAGCAGCTCTGACGGCGTTCCAGGCACTGATCTGCTGTCAGCCAAGAGACGACGGTTGAAGGTAAACGACGTTGCCAGGAAAGGCGTGGGAGAGGTGGTGAAGAGTTATCAAAGGCAAAAGCAGAGAGAGTGGAGAAAGACAAGTCTGCTCCGGTGTAGAAACCAGTCCACTTCGCACTTGGAGGCTGACCCTCGGTTCACTTTCCCTGCTGAGAGGAGCACCGATCCCCTTTGAGCCATGGAGGAGACACTCACCTGTAGTCGGAGCCCTTTCTCCCAGGTGTTTGGGCGTCAGGGTCAACTCATGCAAGCCAGTAAGTAAAGTTAATCTAGAATTAGTTGAAATTAGAGATGTGATTTCTGCCATTTAGAATTAAGAAATTGTTCTTAATAGATTATTTCAAATGAAAATAAATGCAACGTTGTTATGTAATGGAGGTGTTTACTTGGGAAACAGTGTTTTAACGTGTGGAAAATAGATGATATTAAAAAGAAGCATCACATTCTGCTCTGGCACTGTTGTGCTTTTATGTTTGTGCTGCAGCTGGACAGTGATGCGGTGTGGCTCGCCAGTGTGTTAACACTGATGGGCTGTGAGAGAGATGTCAGGTGTGAACATGTGTGTGAACGTGTGTGTGAACGTGTGGCTCTGCAGGATCGTATCTCACTTTCCTCCACCCCTTTGATGCCAGTCTGGCTGCACGTGCCACAGGTCTCATCAGCAGGGGAAATGACTGGTAGCATGAAATAATTAGATGCAATAAAAGCTGAGTGATATAATCCGGTAAAATAGGATCTTTGATTTTTATTTGTGGGGGCGCAGGAATGTTGTCAGTTGACTACATTTTGTACCCAGACGTGGATATTTTTATCCACCTGGTTGTCAAAATATGAGCTGCTGCATGAATTAAATATTTATTATAGTTCATGGTGGGAAAGAAGCAACACCCTCTATTTATTCATCAGTAAAGAATAACAGCGATCCAGTCTTTAACAGGTTTTGGAGTGATTCAACTTTCAGAAAACACAAAACGGATGTTGTGATGTCTTTGTTTCTTAAAGAACCTTTGTAGACAGTTCTCCAAAATGAAGATTCCACCTGTAAGTGTAAGTTAGTCTGCTGCTATATTTACAGGGGTTAGAAAACGGGAAAAAGCATTTTGTGACCAGCCCAGTGATACTCCTAATCTTTCAGTAGTCTGTTAGCTTTATTTTAGCATAAACAATGTAAGTGAATGGTAACAGCTAGCATTTCCACTGAAAAAGTCATGAAAATGACTTAATAATGAAACAAATTTTCATTGGTGACCTCGATAATCACATCGACTGCAAATGAAAATAACAAGTGGCATGAAGGAACTGCAGGAGTCGACTTGGACTTGGGACGACATTACAACAAAACGCCGCTGTAAACCATCGCTGCAAGGCACAATTATTAGATACGGCACCCCCAAAATATTTTAATCTGATTATTGGGGTCACCAAGAAGGAGGAAAATCATTATTCAGTAATTTTCATGACTTTCTCACACAAAATGCCAGCTGTTACCATTCACTTATATTGTTTAAGCTAAGCTAAAGCCAATGGAATACTGCCAGATAAGGCAGATGACTGGGCTGGTTACAGAAATGCCTTTTCCCACTTATCTAACTCTGGGAATAGATCAGCTGATTACATTTCCCTTAGGGGTGGAATATCCACTTAAAGTAAGGTTGATAACTGGAATCAAACTGGACTAGAGCCAGGGGCGTGTCCAGGGAGTGGCCTGGGGTGGCACATGCCACCCTTGGAATCTGAATGGCCACCCCATGTGTCACCACACTGAATTCCTTTTAAATAGTATTTTCATTGTCCACAAAAGGCTTGGGGTAAAAAAGAAAAAGCATAACAATTGGTGTCACCCATGCACAAAGTAGTGCCTCATCTGGGCCACCCCATTTTAAAAGATCTGGACACTCCACTGACTAGAGCACCATTCTTGTCTTTGTCAGCTATTCTGGTGTCAACCCGCTATTTTGATTAGAATTTTAAACCCATAGTGCCCAGGGGCCTCATTTATCAAGCTTGCTTACGCACAAAACAGGGTAGGAAAACTGCGTACGCAACTTTCCACGCAAACTTTGGGATTTATGAAAGAAAACTTAGCAGAAAAATGTGCGCAACTTTAAGTGAAGGACCTGGCTTATGCTCATTTTGGACATGGAGAGCACCTGCAGTGCTGCTAATGAGAAGGATAAAATTATGAATCCAGCAGCGTTATCACTTGTACTGCTTCGTTTTCACACAGAACAAGACCCCCCACACATGCACACACACGCGCGCGTACATACACATGCGTGCACACACACACACACACACACACACACACACACACACACACACACACACACACACACACACACACACACACACACACACACACACACACGCGCGCGAGCACACGACACACACACATAGCCTGAAGTGCAGAATACGGAATGCAGAATATCAGCAGGGGGACAGAATGAGACACAATGTCACGAGTCTGTGACAGTGTGTGTGTCCTGTCACTGTGACCTGATTGATGATGCGTCCTGGCTACTTGTACAGGGGAGATCTCCGTTTGGCTGACCAGTTAGCGCATGTGACTTTCTCCTGGGAGTCTGGGGATTGAATCCTGATTGGACCATTTTTTTTTATATCCGCCACAGATCTCTCTGAGGAATTCACAACATTGATGGCTTCAGCAACGCTGTGCCACTCCATGGATTTTCTCTTATTTGTTTTGCAAAAGTATTTCCTTTCATTTCTCCACCTCACCCACAAGTACCTCAATTTCTGCTTCTGTGAAATTGCGCTTCCTTGATCTGCCTTGATCTACGTTCGTCATGGTCATTGGCGGAGCGCTGCAACAGCCGGCTTATGTATATGCATGAGGTCCACAAGGCACTTTGCACTGACTATTTATGGCAGTAAGTGGGCGTGGTGAGGGCGGGATGTGACAAAAATGCAGCTGAGAAACATTCTCGTTAGTCTCCGATTTATGAAGCAGAGATTGCGTGCAGCTGTGCATACTCCATGTTTGATAGATCACAAACCTGCTTGGCGTGAGTACATATTTTTGCTGAGCTTAAGTACGGTTTTAGTAAGGATTCTACGCCATGTTTGATAAATGAAACCCCAGGTCATGTGGCTGCAGAACAAGCTCAAATCACTACACTTCCTCTGCCATGCTGGGGGTTGGTATAAGGTCGGAAGAACTGTTTCAGAAATCTTGTGGTTTGTTCAGACGCAACTTTACAAATTTAAGATGTGCTGCCATGTTCTTAGAGAGAAGATATTTTTTCCTGCTACTCTTCCAAACAAGCCAAACTTGTCTTTTTCTGATTATGATGTCAGGGAATTTAACCTTTAACCTCCAAACACCTGTTGAGTCTTTAACTTAGCTTTTGGATGGTATTGTACCTTCAATTCCTGAAAAGACCGGCATCTGACATAAATGTTTCCTCCCTGTGGATAATCTTTGTCTACTGAGCTTCAGTTTGACCTTTACCCTTTCACAGGAATATTCTGTAGCAGCAGTTGCACCTTAAAGGTCATTGGTGCTGTCTTCCCTCCTTGAGACGGTGTTAACACACACCTGTATGCTCCACACCAGCATGCCCACTCATGCTCATATAAAAGTGGTTTAATTTGCTGATAATCAGAACAAGTATGCGTATTTGATCAGCAGCTCCTGGCTGATATTTTACCCTTCAATTCCTATAGAAACTCCCAGGTTTTTCCATTTTGGCCTCATTTTCATTTAATAATTAATGTCATGGCTGATTCTGTTGTTTGTGTTTGTAGACTTGAGGTTAGTCATAAACAATTTAAGAACCTGGTAAAGATGGGATCATTTTTATATCTGATCCGTGAAACTAAAACATAACTGAGGGTTTACATTCTGTCGGACAAAACCGCGGTAAATTTGATTCATGTTGGGATCATTTCCTGCATTTTGAGAGGATGGCGGCTCGTTCTGATCCAGTTCCATTTGCTAAAACTTTAATCTCGCTGTTTATGTCTCTGGATTGGAGCTCACAGTGAATTTTTATACATTTGAGGAAAGTGTCTAGAGGTGCTGTGATGTCTTGATCCAAAGTACTCAACCTTCAGCCATTTGTTATTTAGTATCCAACATAATTTAAATGAGTTTGCTGGTTTGGAGTAGACTTATACTGGTGTCTGCCCAGCAAGTTCATTGGTTTTGTTTTCTTGCCTTTTCTTATTTGTGCTAAAACACATTATGAGGCTTGTTTTTGGACTTGACCGAGCTCGTACAGTTTCTTATTTTACTGTTTATTCATGAATAAATAATAACCTGCTTTATGGTTTCTGTTAGGCAACAAGAAAACGGTCCCTATTTTTGTTGTTGTTACATTTGTTTTAAAGTGCAGAACAGAAACAGAATTGGGTTTTAAATTGGTATAATTAAATTATTATAATCACAAATAGAAGTTCAGAGAGAACAAATTGATTCTTCTGGTTCTCATCTCCTGCTCCTTCTCCCTGACTATGACCAAACTTGGTCAAGGTTGTGGCATTTAGCTGTGTGTTGCCTCTAATCAGTCCAGGTGAGGGTGGCTCAAAACTAAACGCCAGCTCTCTGGTTGTGTGAAAATGACATTAGCGTTGTGTGTGTGTGTGTGTGTGTGCGCTGTGATGAATCACGGTCGATCGTGCGCTATACCCAACTTATCTATGCTCTTTGAAGCTTGTGCTGCAAGGCTGCGATTTTGGATGTGTGAGAAAAGCAGGGGAGGAAAGGAGGGGGGGAAAGAAAGTGAGCAAGCTGCAAACGGTGTGAATAAGAGATGGATGTTTCGTTCTATTTTTAGCCCGGTTACATACTGTTGCACAGTTGTTGGAGGACTAATCCACAACTGTGCTGACCCGCAATATCAAAACAGCAATTATGTGGGGATTTAACGTAAAATGTGTTTTGTTATCTGTACCCGTCACCCATCAGTCTCTCGTGCAAAGCCCTGCCTGAATGAGCCTTGCACACGCCCAAAGACTTGAATGTTGACAACTTTCTGGCAGGATCCTGGCAGAATAAACACCTGACAGAATTTGTTGTCTATAGTTTTTTTCTTTCTCATGAATCAAATTCACGTGGCAGTGCCGCTGCTTCGTTCCTTTGACTCCCTGCTGGTGGTGTGATTTATATTCAGTCTTGTGATGTGTCACCAGAAGTCCCTCACCAGCTCCTGTTTTTTTGGGACAAGTGTGACTGTAGAATGAGAACTCTTATTTTCTTTTCTTTCATTTTAAGGGGACTTGTTTTTTCTTA